GGTATGTCTGTTGGAAGGTACTTAAAGGAAGGAGTGGTTATAAAGGTGTTAATCAGTTGCTGAGATACTATAGAAGTAATTTATCTATAGCCTGCATGAGCACAATAGGTAAAAAAAAAAATTAACCCCTAATAAATTACCCATGGTAATAGTGAAGTATAACATGTTATTTTTTGTTATTTATTTACAGAGTGCATTTGTCAAACTGTACATAACAGGGTCCTCACACCCTCTCCCCATACACTGTGCGGACGTTAATCTGTGTTTTGACAATAAAACTCAAATCCCAGTGGATTCTAAGTCATGCTTGCCATATTTTGAGGTTCCAGTTTAAGGTTGATGGTTCTCTTCTGGGGAGTTCATCTGTGCTTTTTATGGCCCAGAAAAGATTTACACATCAGGACACCTGGACGTGCAGCGCTCACATTTTATATATCACGTGAGGCCTGTTAATGCCGGGGAATTTCAAGCAGAGATTACTCACCCAGTTCTGGTGGTGAACACCTTGCGTTCGCTGGGAATGCTTTCCCATAGTGCTGTTGAGTTAAAACACTGTGTCCAAGCCTCTTCTCACAGTTTCCAAAGGAAAACCAACAATATGGAGCAAGATTAAAATGGTGCAACAGATGGGTTGTGACGACATTAGGAGCAGGAGGTTGATTAAAGGGGATGCTCCTCCATCTTATCACTCTGTGAAAAGTCGCAAGAGCCCTGACATTCACTTGTGAACTGGTTCACAGTCTGGAAACGCTAACATACCCCCATTTGGTCAATAGGCTGTAATCTTTTGTTTTATTCTGCTGTACTTTTGTATCCTTCTTGTGTGAGAGAAGGGCGAGGGGGCCTTCTCTATCCCTCAACTATGTTTCCCTGTGCCTCTAATTGCAAAGGGAAAATGTTGTTTGCTTAGCAGAAGCCCTTAAACCAAAGCGTTTTGAAACATTTCCAAAGTCTATTTTTTTTGTGTAAGAGCAAGGAGCGGTCATACAGGTACAGTAAAGTAAAGAATAAATAAAAGGCATGTCACGCTTGGACTCCTTTCCTGTCTTGATTTAGAAAGCCCGGTGTCTCACCTTTTTTCTGCTCCTGTCTCAGTCGTGCTCAGACCTGCATACCTGTTCACTCCCTGGCTGGGCTCATCCCCCACGTGGGCAGACAGGGCTCAGGGCTGTTACCCCACCTGAGTTGAGCCTAACAGAGGTCACACTATAGCCTCTTCCTTCGGAGCTTAGAAACCCAGTGGATTAGACTCTCATCTCATAATAGGATCCGTTGCCTTTTAGCTGTTCTACAAAGGAAGCACCTCAAAATAATAGGACACTTACTGCCCAACATAAGGATAAAACAATACATAACAAGGGTTTTGTTACACGATGAACAACTGTGAAACATATCTGCACATATTACCATGTGGATTTTTAATTCAAATTATAATTCTTAAATATCTTTTTCTAGCTCTTGTGGTTCATTTGCAAACAGTAGCCTAATGCTGTTAAAGACGGAGATCTAGACACCTTTGAAAATGTATAGAGCGGAACTGGTTAAGTGTTTGTTGTGCATAATTATATATTTGTAATCTGCAAGAAACTAGGAAAAAGTACCACACAGTTTTTGGGAAATTTTGTTTTCGAAGAAAAGCAGAAGTCCCTGACCCTGTGGGTTGTGTGGATTTCCCCAGTGATGTCCTTTAAGATGTGCGGAATTTTATTTAGGTTTTCTTCATCATCCTTTAATACCACAGGACAGACATCAAGCACTAGTCCTCTTCTTCATTAAACGTCAGAAAGAAATCCAAAGTAAGCTGTTCTAGGGTGTTTTCAGTTATTACATTATTCTGTTAAAGTAGGTGAAAGGTCTTTTTTGCAATCATTATTACAAATGGCCACCATGGATACTGTACAGAACAAATTTGTAATTGTTCATAATGTGTGCGTTTTGTAAATTAAAACAGAATTGCGCCTCAAATCTGTGTAAATACCGTAGTAATTGTGTAACTTTCCCATTAGTAGGCTTTTGAGGGATTCATACAAATTACAGTTACATTTTAATATTAATGAATAGAAAATAATGTATATCTCCATTACTTACAAATGAAGTTTGAGCTCACTTCAAAACATGTGGTGTTGAAAAATGAATTATTTTACCTTCATCTTTCAGCCTGGTGGGGGAAGCTAGGGTTTGTGTTCCAAATAGCTGTGATTTTCTAAACTTCGGCTATCCACATCGAAATACTGAAAACCATCAGAGAAAACTGTTTTTTTGTGCTACGTGACAACGGAGATGCATGAAATCTGTCTTTGAACTGGAACTGGAAGTTGACTGCTACTTGGAGTGGTGCAGAATGAGTAAGGAATTGATCCAGATTTAAATGCTTTCAAAGTGGATGTGTGGTTAGCAGAGTGCGGATGCAGACTGTTCTTCATGTATTGCCCTATGAATTGGTATGTGTTGGAGTACAGTACATTGTGAATCACTGAGGCCTGTAGTGTGTTCAGGCTCCCCTTCGAAAACACTTTGCTTGTTCGCCTGCTTGCTTTGCAGGGCCGCAGCGTCTGAGACGCGCAGAGTGCAGGGGGAGGGAGTGTTGCTGAGAGTGATGGACAGGAAGATCCTGTGTTTTGCTGACGTTAGAATGAGCCTCATTAGCTCCTAATCCTCAGGGCCAAATTAACAGCTTTGCTGTGCCCTCGCAATCTGACCACAGAGAGAACACCCCCCACCTGGGCCTGCAGGGGGTGACTGAAACACCACAGCTGCCAAGAGAGGGGCGTTATTCATCCAGCACAGTCCTGGAGATGCCAGCCACGGACTGACGTTATCTGCTAGAATTCTCCTTCCATTATAAGGTTGTCTATTTGTCTGCATACTTTAACCATGGCGAATCTGTACAAGAAATATTTCATCCATTACAAGTGTTCTACCCAGTAGATTTGCAGAGCACTTATACTGGATAATAGTGAAGCTTTAAAACTTACAAGTCACCTTTTAGCATAAGAAGATCTGGCCAGTTTTTTTTTTCTTTTGTTTAAGAATCACACAAATGACTCTTTCTTTGGCAACATTTAATAATGTCAAAGCCAAGACTTGGAAGAGGCAGGTTTTTTATACTAATGTGGGTCATTGAGGAGGGTCAGCCAGGCCTAAGTCACAGAAGAGGAAGCACAACTGTACTCTTATTGTCTGTCACTCCTACAAGTTAGCCATTGGCCTCCATTGTCTCCTCTACACCAGAGGGCAGATTGAATGCGAAAAATGATGCAGCCTCTTAGATATGCAAGATACTGAGCAATCATTGTTTAACAGTCTCTCCAAATGTTTATAATCTGTTTCATTCTCGCACAAAACATTGCAGACAACAACTGCATAAGGACAAAAGACAGATTGCAAACAGCTGGTTGAGATCCTTGGATTAAACAGACACAAGGTACCAAATGAGTCAGATGGGCCTCAATGATTTCTCTCGTTTGTTTCCGTTCTTATGTTCAGAGCAAAGTACAGGTGTGATTTCAGTATGATAAAACCATGTAACCAGCTTATTCACCGTGGTAAATGGTCATAAGAAAACTACTAGGATACAGGAGGGTATAGGAAGCCTATGTGTATGAGTAGGGAGGCACTGAAAATTGTGTTTTTGTGAGGCCGGAGGCATATGGGAGAGTGAATTAGGAAAAGTTCACAGACCAGACTTTTGGCTTTTTCTCTCTCCTGACTGCAGGTAATGAAAAGACCAGATGGCCGAGAGAGAAATTCTCTGCCTCTCCCTTATCCTTGACAGCAGCGAATCTGTTCCCAGGTTTCCTCAAGCCCTGGGCATTAGGGGTAACTGTGCTTCCACATGTTGAATGAAAAAGGGTTTAACACTTCAAAGGGAGTTGGATATGACCCTCAATTGCGGCACACCATGCTGTCCCCATATGCTGAGCACATCCTGCAGTGATCCTGCCTTCAAAGCACAGTCTCAAGGCAGGTCTGCTTCAAGGTGTTAAAGAAGATCTCCCTTCCGGCCTCACCTTGTCCAAGCCGTCTGGGAAGAGCAGAGGGGTCAAGCTGCAGGCATTCCCAAAGGGGGCAGCTTTTGATTCCAACACAGGCCGGGCTGATAAAAGTCAAACTCCTGGTCATGCCAGTTGAACGCAAAGGCAGTGCAAAACCATATCAGAGTCCAGAACTCTGTATGTATATAGCAGCACCTGACATCAAAAATACTGCTTTTGCTTTCTGTGTCTTGCCCACTTTCTCCCATTCTGCATCCCCTCCACAGATTTGCAGGTGCAGTTGATTTGTCAGGAATGCAACTTTAAATTTTAAACTTTAAAGAATGATCATTTGTTGTTGTGAACTAGTAAAATGTAGTCGTTTAACACTCAGACTAAACCTAGCGTTTCTCTTTCTCTACTGATTTACTGCCATCCATTTCAGTTCCGCATTCTGAGTTTTAACTTTATAATCAGGCCAGAATACTGCCCCAGTATAGAGAGTTGCTGAAGTCTGTGCAGGGAGCAGTAACTACTATATATATTCTGGGGTTTGAGGGCATGTCCTGCACTAACAGGCTGAAGGACCTGAACCTTTTTAGTCTTGAACAGAGAAGAACCTGAGATAAGCATTCAGAATCCTCAAAGGCATCAAGCCAGTGGGCTTCTTTAGGATGAACAGTGAAACACAAACCAGAGGGCACAAGCGGGCACTGCAAGGAAGGACATTTAAAACTGAGAACAGGGGGCACTTCTTTACCTAAAGGATTGTGGGAGTGTGGAACAAGCCACCCAGACACGAGGCTACAGCTGATACACTGGTTTCTGACAAGAAAAAACTTGAAGAGATCCTCAGATCAATTAATTACTCACTACCAAACGGGCTAGCTGGGCTGAATGGGCCCTGGTTTGCAACCTTTCTTATGTTCAGTACGAGTAATCTAGTCCAGCCCCTCCCTGGCACCCAGCCCTGTCCTTCAAGCGCTAATCCTGTTAGTTGATCCGAAGATTGAGTTAATCTGTACAGAGAGCTATTCAGTCACAAGCCCTCCACCAAACTGGACCGACCGAGTGGCATGCAGTATCTTTGACTGGCACAGGTAAGTCACTTTTTCCCTCCTTTTTTAAATCAGATGTTTCTTTCCCTTTTTCGGATGTGCTCCTGTTTGTCTCGTCTTGTTTTTAGATCAATCATATAATAAACTAAGGGTGCATTCTCGCGGCAGCTGTTCAAAACGTTGAAAACTGGGGTCGTCTGAAAAAAAAAATTAGCATCTCTTTTTAGTTTTGTTTGGCCTGTTTGTTTCGGAGTGGCCCCCGAAATGCAAAGGGTCAGAAAGCAAAAGCTTAGAGGCGGAATGGAGCATCGCCTTTTGAGGCCATTTGTGGAGACACGCAGTGCCACATGGTGAAGGAAAAGGGAAAAAAAAAAGTTTAACAGTTTAAATACTGCTTCCTGAGGTAAATAGAAGTAATGTTGATTTAGCAGGCTGAGAAGATTAAATCATGTTCCTGAACAGCTCTGAGCCCTCTCTCGCTTTCTGAAACAGTGTTCCTCGGTCATCTACAGTCTCTTATGATGAATGTGATCCAGTTGGATGAATCTCGTGGATTTGCAATGTGGGTTGCAGTAGTGTGCGAGAAGTCTGTCAAAAACCCAAGAAAATGTATTTACTACAGAGAACAAAATACCACAGGCTCAGAGTGTCCATGCGTCTTTACTGAGCTATGCAAAAGTGAAGGATGAGACCATTTCCAAAAACTCAATTAATCCATCGTGTAGGTCTAAATGCCTGAGCATGTCCTTATTCCTGCCAACGGCTGACGACCAGGGTTTTAAGAAGCTGAACTGCGGGTGAGGGAGTATACCGGCCTCGGCGTCCATTTTAAGTCACTTAATTCTGATCATTTTACTCATCACAGCAACTCTGGCTCGAGTCGCTGGCAGAAAATAAGGAAATTTCAGGTGGACTAAAAGGTTTCTCTTACTTTGCTGTGCCACTGTCCTCACTCTGTCGTAATCCGTGTTAATTTCTGACCAGGCAGTTTGTTGATGATGGGAAGTAATGTTTTACTGCCTCGGTTGTAAGACAAATGGTGATTGATTCACTGAAGCTTGATTGCAAGTACTGTTTACCGAGAATGGGGCAGATTGATGGACAGAGCCCCTCACTGAGACTAGTATGAGCTGCAGTCCTATCCCATTTACAGTTAATTGGACACAAGGTGATCACACCAGTTCATATTGTACCAGGAGTGGTTGAAGTCAACTCACATGTAAAGGAGTATTACATGGGCTTTAAAACTGGTGGTATTTTGTAATGCTTTGTGTTGCAGTCAAACCAACGAGTACTGAAAATCCCATCTGCCAATCTGTCTCCATGGCATTCAGCTTCTTGAGCTATGCCTTGCCTGATGTAAATGAGCAGTTGGTTTCTGGTTATGAAGCACCCTTGCGGGTCTGCGGACAGCGCAGCAATAATGATCCAGTTGCCACCACTAACCCCTAACAGCCGTTGTCCCGTTTCAGGATGTTCAGCTGGGTGGTGAAAGTGGTTCCCCAGCCCCCTGAACCCCCAAAGCCCCTGGGACCGCAGGAGAAGGTAGAGCCCAAACCCTCAGCTCCTGAGCCGGTAAGACAACGCGTGGATCTGTCCTTTCCCCAGGACAGCTGCTCTGTATTTGCATTTTAACGTTTTGGAACACGGAAATACTAGACAGGGCTTCTTTTCCTCCTCCTTTTGTCACTATTTCAGACAAAGCCAACGCTCTGTTGCAGAAATAACCCTTTTTGTTCCTGCACTAACTCTCACCTATGAGCTTCTGGGTTTTTTTTTCCTCCCTGGTTTCTCTCTTCCCTGTTTGCTGCATGCGAAAAATCGACGTGTTCCCGGTCGGCAGGAAAAGAAGGTGACGGAAAAGGAGAAAGCAAAAGAGCAGCCGCCGAAAGATGCTGCAGGTGGGATGCCCCGGAGCAAGATTCGGCTGGCTTTTTTTTTTAAAGAAAAGACACAGAAAATGTGGATCCTCAGGGAAAAGGAATACAGATCCAGCCTGGTTTTCTCAGTCTGAGTCAGGCCCACATGTGCCACACTGTCAGCATCCCTGCCCTGTGGAGAACTGAAGACTCCACTGAGCATATGGCAACAATCCCAGTCCATCACAACACCACTGAGAACTTGACCCTATGCAGATTTGGTAGTAGAAGGTATTTATAGAACACAAAACACACATAGCAGTGGTCCATTTTGCAATTTTATTTAGCCAACATTTTTATCCAAAGCAACTTCCATTTGCACACCCATCTATACGGCTGACACAACTGTACAGTGTGTCACCTGGGATTCAAGCCCACAACCTTCTCCGTTACAAGTCTGGAACCCTGGACTGTGCTCCACACTGGCACCAATCATTCTGGGGTGGGTGTTTCTGCCTGTGACCTGTGTAAGCGCATGTAGATTTCCTAGTACGATTGTGCACTTGTAATGTTTTTCGGTGCCATTCAAGCTTTCTGTTTTTGGATTCTACAGCTAAGACAGAGCCTGAGAAGCCTAAAGCTCAGGAAGACAAGAGGTCAGTCTCTTCCAGCTTTCCTGACATTCAAGGGGGTGTTAGACACCAGATGAAAATTATATTTCAATGTTAGGAACCAATCAGTGTATTTTCCTACAATATATTGTAGCCAGATGTAGGGAAAAAATTGTATCAGCTTGTTTGCTTTTACTGTAACACAAACTGTATATGCTCTTTGGCATGGAAAAGTAGTTTTTGGCTATTTTTTCAAGGATCAAATGCATCCCAATTTGTCCTTTTCCCCTTTGTAAGCCCTTCACTGTCACTCACAGAAGAAGACGTCAGAGACACAAAGTAGCTGCAAAATTTGGCTCTAGAGACTTTGCTGAGCAGGACTCACAAAACAGTTCCGCAACTTCCTTTGAAATACAGTGCCACCTGGTGGCAGACATATGCAAACTGCCACCAGACACATCTGCCTGAGAGGAGACAAAATGGGACACCAAGGCCCCTGCCTCTTTCTTTCTCAGTGAGCCGCCCGGTGTGTTGACCTGGATCTCTCAAGGTCTGGTCAATGTGCTGCCCAAGCCTGTGGAAAGCCCCCAGGTACCTCGGGCCACCGCAGGAGACACAGCAGCGAAGGCAGAGAAGGTGAGCTCTAACCTTTGTTCTTTAGTCTCTGTTACAGAGAGATGCTCTGCTTATTACCTGTACTCTGATTTACAGCTGTTTAAAAATGTTCTGCTATCACCCTGGGCCCTGGGCCTCACCTCACGATTGGTCAGCCCTGGTCTGCAAGTGTCTGGACCCTGGAACACTACTGGGATTAAGGACATGGGATGGGAGAGGGGTGTTGGGTTAGTATTAGGGTTAGAAATTAGTCTTGAAACGGTCCTCGTGCACATAGTTGGTTTCTCTCACCTGTCATTGACTTCTGTTTCCTTTCAATCCTGACACCGCACACAAAGAAGGAGGAACCGAAAGCAGGTGTGTCTACGGTTTCATTCCACACTGTTCACTAGACTGACTACAGATATCCCCTGCGTCTGTAACCAGGAGGAATACCTAACCCTAACCCTTACTCTAATTCTAACCCTAACCCTAAAACTAGTCCTGATGATGTTAGGCTTTCAAATGTTGTGTCGCCTGTGCGTATTTCAGTAAGAAGGGTGATGCTTGCAAACAGAAAACCTTGAGTGACAGACCTCTGCTTCTGTCTCTCAGAAACCAAGCCCAAGGAGAGCGAGAAATGTCCCGAACCCACCAGGTACTACTACTAAATAATATTTGTAATAAAAATAATAATAATAAACATTATTTCAAATAGCACCTTTAGAGGTGGCTTCTTAAAGCGCTTTACAAAATGACAACAACAAAATACACAAGATATACACAATGAAAATACACAATGAGAGGAGACAGTAGACGGGGGTACTGAATACAGAGTGACAGACTGTCTTTATAAAACTGTGCGAATAGGCTCTGTCATTGTTCTTCACTGCAGGAACATACACAGAGTTCCTGGGAAAACCTACTGTGATGTTTCGTCTAGCAAGCGATCAAGTTCAACTCTATACATAGTTCTGATTTGCATTTGGTAGCAATTCTTCCAACAACTTTTGTCTAACATTGTTGATGTTCCTTTGACCCAGATCCCCTTTTAAAACCTGTATTTAAAAAAATTCTAAGAAAGTAAGAGTACATCCTAAAATATGGAAAAGATTATTATCCTTCCGCATATTACAGATACCTTTGTATCTTTGTTTAAATTTCAAATGAACACAAATCTTTGAGTCAACATTTATTTTAGCTTCAGCTAAGTGCTTTATATTACTAGCAGTAGTAGATGCCTTGATATAGATACCATGTGTGTGATGCTCCGGGGGAAGTCTATGGAAAATACAGAGTGATATTTGTCTAATAGTTGTTTTTTGGTGTCTTTTGCTGTGTCTTCTGTCCCGGACAGCAGTAAACCCAGTGAAGAGTGAGTAGATCCTGTGTGCAGTCTCTTAAGTTGTGTTGGGTGAATAGAAAATTAAACAACAAATTTGTTTCCTACAAAAGGACTGTTACTCTTTGCAAAGGCTGGGCAGAGCAAGCCAGCAACCCAAATACAAAATAAATTAGGCTCCAGCGCGCCCTCTGCTGGCAGCGAGCAGAAATTGACAAGGCCATCCTCAAAGTACAGTATCTCATTCAGGGCAGAGGGAACTCCCCTAACATGCATACAACCCTGTGCATTATGGTTTCAGACCTGCATATGGTTATGCATAAGAAAAATAAATCTCAGTCTTTTGCTTAAAAGACAGTGTTAGAGGAGATTTGAAAAAACCTGGAGATCTTGGCTGTTCTAAGATGGGCCTGCTCTGACTTCTGTGCAGTTCATACTTCCACTAATCAATGCAATGCAATACAATGCAATAACTGCAACAGAGACCATCCATCTTGTCCATCCAGCCTTATCCCATACCTCTAGACCAATTGCTCCCTGTTTTCAAGATTATTGTGAACCAGCTGATTTCTCTCCAGGCTGTTTTCTAAAATAAACCTTCAAATACCAGGCCATCTTGTGAGATGGAACAGGAAAAGGTTTATTCCACGCTGAAAGGAAAAGAAAAGAGACACAGCACTCCACAGCTGAAACACTGTGTCTCTTTTCTGTTCCTTTCAGCGTGGAATAAACCCTTACATGTTCCTTTTGCAGCTTATGCATGCTGACGCAGCTCCCTGCTTGAACATCTTGTCAGTGGGTCACTTGCTTTCTCCTGCGTGCCCTCTAGTGGTTGCACGTCGCTATTGCGGGCATGAGAGGGGCATGCATCACTACAATCCCGACCCATTCGTCTCCATGCAGGCAAGCCGTTGGAGTCCTTAGCTGGATTGTGCAGGGACTGGGCAAAGTCGTCCCGCAGCCTGAGGAGAAGCACAAGGCAGTGGCCCCTGCGGAGGGACCCAAGACAGAGGTGGGCATGAATGTGTTCCATACGTATTGCATCAAATCACACTTCTTTCTGCTTGGTTCCGGTGTCACTGCAATTCTTAGTTGTTCAACAAGAACTATTCTCTCTCAAATCGATTTGGGAAACTTGGGGCTTTGCCTCGGCCTGAGCTAATTACACACCTCGTTTTTCTTGGATGCTAAAATACCAGTTCGGCGCCAAATATGATTCAGACGTTTACAGGCAAAATAAAATTACGCACACATCTAAATCTGTCAGATTAAATCTGTCGGAGGCCAAGACAAGTGCACTCTAATGTAAGTGTAGTATAAGCTGTCAAACAATAATAGCTAAAAACACACATTAAACAAAAGTGGAATAGATTCAGTTTCTTGCCCTTGGTCACTGACGTGTGTTTCTGGGTGATGTCAGTCTAGCTCAGTCAGTAGGGCATGAAGCTCTTAATCTCATGGTCATGTTTTGGGCACATTTAACATACTTGTTCATGGTCAGAGACATGGTGGATAATATGTCTGACTACAGATCAGTAGATTTCAGGTTTGACTCCTCACTGGTTTGCTTTCGTTTAATACTGTTTAACTATATTAATATTATTGCTAGTAAAATGTTGACTGGTTCACATAAACCAGGGGAACCTACATGGACGTAGTTAGTAGAAAACTGAGGGCACTTCTTTACCCAGTGGGCTGTGGGAGTCTGGAATAAGCTGCCCAGCCATGTTGTTGAAGCCGATACCCTGGTCTCTTTCAAGAAAAGGCTGGATGTGATCCTTGGATTAGTCACCTGTTAACTACCAAACAGGCTGCCTCTCTGTTGTGACCTGTCATTTGTTCTTATGTAATGGATTTCTCTGTCCACAGGTTAAAGAAGCACAGCCCCCTCCCCCTCCATCAGTGCCAGGTGAGTTCAGACCGATTTCAGGAGGACGAACACAAAATAACATCTTCACATCAAAATAATATCAGCAAAATGTACCTCCTTCAACAGAGTAGAAACCTAGTATTTGCCTGTTTTGTGGCCTACAGAAACATCTGGCCTAGATAAAGGCCATTTTCTTTGCTTCCTGTGACACATCATGTGTCTCAGTGATGCAAATCCGTCATAGTTTTCCTTATACACATCCTTCACATTCCTCTGGCTTCCTCCCACAGTCAAGAGGCACGCTGGTAGGTTAATTGGCTTCTGGGAAATTGACTCTTGGTGTGAGTGTGTGCATGTCTGTGTTTGTTCCTGTGTCTGCCTGCCCTGTGGTGGTCTAGTATCCCATGCAGGGTGTCCTCTCCTTGCAACACACTGCATGCTGGGACAGGCTCCAGCTCCCCCACGACCCTGAATTGCAAGAAGTGGTTTGAAAATGGACGGATGGATATCCTTCTTGTGTTGAACGTAATTCGCTGATCTGGAAAGCTTATTGCTTGTTTTCTACAAGTCCATGACCAAACCAATCAAAGTGTGTCTTTTGTTGCTTCGTGAGTTCCAGAACCACAGCCGGAGGTTAAAATCATCGAGGTGGTGTCTGTGACCTCGCGTGAGACAGCCTCGGAGATTGACAACACAGCCCAGAAAAACCCACCGCCCACCCCCAGCAAAGCCCGGTGAGTCCCCACTGCACTCTGCCATCTCTGGACTGTAACAGAGGTTTACGGGAATGAGAGGAGGCCTTTTGGAGCAGTTTCCCTGTTTGGTTGCCAGTAGCTTGTTGACCTGAGCTCAGATTTCATGCAACTGTGTTTCAGAGGGTCACAGGGCATCAGCTTTGACAATACACCTTGTAGCTTCTTTCAGACAAGCTCATGTCTGTCATGTGCAGAAGTGCCCTCTTGTTTTTCAAATGAAATGAATCCCATTCAATTGATTCCCACTTATGTTCTCAGATCTTTGTCTGTACCTTTCAGAGTTTTAAATATTGAGTCCCCTCATAGTCTCCTCTGCTCAGGACTAAAGAGAATTTGTTCCTTTAACCTCTACTGCACTGACAGTGGATAGTTTTCCAGTCTACCTTTCTGCAATGATCAGGTACATGTGATCTTCAGGGTGATGACTAGCAGAAAGCACTTACTTTGCAGGTTTGAGGAATTAAAACTGAGAGTTATCTGTTACCTCTAACTTCTTACATACAGAATAGATTGACACTCATTTCATGCTACTTTACCACTGTCTCCAATCCATAGCACTTCTCTTCATCGGATATGTCCTCCGGATATGTTATGTTATGTAGGTTAAGTAGGTCTTCTTCAATTCAGTCACCTTTCCTTCTGTTCCCAAAGTTGACATATTCCGGCAGCACATTGCTCAGATTGATCAGATAGCGAGCTGCACCAGAGGGTGCGAGAGACAGACAGACGCCTGAGGTTCCAGATTTATAAACTGTCACTTGACTAATCGTCTTGCGCCATCTGGTCAGGTGACTCAGGGCAGCTGCTCCTTAACTAAAAGCATTCTGGGTATTGTGGTCCAATCTCCATCTTGTCTGAACCCTCTCACAAGGGGAAAACGACTTCCCTTTCGTGTCTCAAGGCTCTGTCCTGTGTGGGATCTGAGTGAGCTGAATTCAACTCTCTTGTCCTGCAGTGTGATTGAATGGCTCAAGCAAGGCCTGGAGAAGGTGGTTCCACACCCAACCGAGCAGCCTGCCCCTCTCAATACTGCCCCACAGAAACAGGTAACACTCATCCGAGGTCACAACAGGAAGCTAGTTTTCCTTTTTTCCATAAAGTACATTTCCCTGCTGGAACTTTCCTCTCCAGGCAGCAGAGGAGAAGAAGGAGGAAGCTCCCAAGAAGGAGACTGGCAAGAAAGAGACAGCAGGAGAAGCTCCTGCTCCTGCTCCTGCCCCTGCCCCTGCCCCTGCTCCTGCTCCTGCTCCTGCTCCTGCTCCTGAGAAAGGTAAAATACATGTTTAGCAGATTCCAGTGGTTCAGGGATTAGGAATAGGTTTGGAATCGGGATCAGAGCTGGATCGGGATCGGGTTGGAGGGTTGGATTGTGGCTTGGAAGAGTGCTGGAGTTAGAGGGTTGGTGTTAAATTGAGGGTTGGGGAAGAGTTAGACTTGACTAAAGTATTCCTTAGAGCAGAGGTGACAACCGGCATTTGATGTTCATTCCACCCCTGATCTTCATTATTTAACTCTTGCCTGACAGGTTAACGCCAGATAATTAGTGACAGGCAGGGGGTTCTCCTCTCTCTCAAGTGGAATTTGCACTTTGACTGGAATTGTGAGATTTAATTAATATCTGTGTTGCCTGTGACCTGTTGAAAGATGAGCGGTTCAAAGGTGGGGGCACCTTTCTGCCCCATGTGAGGTTGTAGCATTCATAGCCATGAAAGAACCTCAAAATCTGGGACTAACAGTTTGTATTAAAAATGACAAAATCAAGCATGCACACATCCCACGGTTTCTCATGCGATTTTGATGGCCATGTGCTCTGTTCTCCTGTGAGCAATTCCTTTAAGTGCCTTCGTGTCTTTAGTGATGTTTGACCAAAGGAAATGTGTCTCTTGTTTATACAGACCCCAAACCTGCTGAGCCAGCAAAAGCCCCTGCAGAGACACCCAAACCTGCCAGGTAAGAGTGACAGGCAGGTTTCTCTGCTCTCCCAAGAGAACTCTTAAGAACTTTGTAAGATTTAAAGAGAGAAAGCAAAAAAAAAAGAATTCCAGTCCTTGTTTAATAAAAGCACTACGTTCTGCAGTCAAGCACATTTAGTCATCTTTTTTTTTGTTTCTTCAGAAGAGCTAACTTTTAAATGTGAGAAAATAGTTCATTAACACGTGAATACATTTTAACAGTACTGAACACTGAGGAAAAGAGTAAAAATGGTGGAACAGGTACAATCATCCTTACTCAGCCAGATATCCTACCAAACAAGCTGTAGAAGTGACACAGTGCAGTTTTATCTAACTGGTAATACTAGTGGGATAAACACATTTTACAGAGCCAGTTAAAAGATGGTGGCATTGACGCAAGCTTTCCAGATTATGTTCTACTATTGCATTGCAAACTGCGGAGGAGGGGTGTCTGTGAGTTCAGATGTGCTGCAGTGTTCAGTAACGTGCGTCTTGGTTCTGCTCTGTTCCTTTCTGGCAGCGAGGACGTGCAGCCAGGGTAGGTAATGTCTCTGCTGGCTTTGTAAGCAGGGCAAAAAGCTGCCAGTCTGTAGTGCCCAGCCTCCTCAACAGCTTTGACTGCAATCACTGTGCTTCTCCGTTCAGAGTTAAGGGCATTGAGAAACCAGAGCAACAGGTTCTTCAGAACAATTTGGGCATCTTTTTTTCCCATTTCTTAGATATTTTGTTTCACATTGATGCCTTTAAGTGACTTTGCAAAAAAGAAAAGTCCTGTTCTCCTTGACATAAACACAGGGGTCGGTAACTGAGATACAGAAAACAAAGCCAGTAAAAGAGACATTTTCATCAGAGCCAGGCCAACCAGCAGAGGTTTTACTAGCTCCATCAGCTCTGCTGGAAACACACAGTGTATTGCCAGACATAAAGTCACCGAGGTGACAAAGAAGTCAGTCACGCAGGACACTGCTTAATTCTGCAACCTTGCTTTGAGATGCAATTGTGCGATAAACCAACAATCATATTTTCTAAAGTAACGTTTTCAACAGAAAGACAATCTAGGTTGAAGAAATTATGAATACGGTCAAACAAAAGCTGCAGAGGTAAAAAGAGAAAGTATGGTGCAGCTAAACAAAAGGATATATTGATCTCAGAAAGGTATAACACTACTGTAAGCAGCATGATGATTTGTTAAAGAATAACTGCACACAATGCATTTGATCTGTGATCCCTGGGGCTCTTCTCACAGAGTGGTGAGCTGGTTTGTTCAGGGACTGGAGAAGATGATCCCGCAGCCAGTAACCAAACCCAAAGCAGATGGAACTGGGGTGAGATAACTGTTGATTTGATGTAATTTAATAGCAGACCTGAATCAAGGAAGAGCACATTTCATTTGTCAGTCCCATCTTTTGGCTGCACAAATTCAATTCAGTCTTTATTATCTGGGTGACATTTGTGTTGCGGCACAGTTCAACAAATAACAAGTCAGACAAACACTGCCAAATAGAAGAGGGTACAACAGCATTTCAGGAGATAAGACAATTACTTAACATTGATTGAGAGTGAGATTGCAGAGGGGATGAAAGATTCCCTGTGTCTGTTACTATTATACCAGGAGACACAGAGGTGTCTACAAGATGGGAGTAGTGTAATTTCTCAAAGAAGTGGATGAGAGACACACTCTATAATGCTCTCAGCCTTATTTACAGCCCTCTGTGGAGGACATTTAGGTTTCCATATGTATCCGTACACTTCCAGATGTATTTCCGTACAGCGTGCCTAACATATTTAATTAATCTCTCTAAGTCCGGACTGGTTGTTATACAGGACGAAAACAATGAGGCGGGAGAGTGTGAGAATTTAGTCCCAAGTCAAAGATGTTCCTTGTTCTTGTTTTTCAGGAGAAAGGTGCATCTGCGGTGCAAGAAAGTAAGTAAACAGAAAATCAATATTTCATTTAAATACAGAGTTAAAACAAAATCATGTTCATGGAAATTCAGCTCATGAAAAGCATTTTGTCACTGATTTTTCTTAATTTAAGAACTCAATTATAATAGGAAGACTGGTGATAATTATTTTACTTCCACAAATAATGAAGATTGTGAATTTCAGACATGTTTATTGTATACTTCCAAATTCAAAGAAATCTTTATTTAAAATAATCGCAGGTTGTTTCTTGGTTTATGATGAGTGCTCTGTAATGGACAGCCCCTGATATTGTTACAAATCTACACCCAGTGGATAGTTCTGGCGATCTTTCCAATAAAAGCTAGAATACAAACACATTTCTTTGTTGCCAAAGTTTTTATTAATACGTGACAGAAAGTGCTCAGTCCCATATCTTTACTCACAAGCATTAAATTATTCCCAGTTTAGTATTCAACCCTTGCTGGAACCGAGTGATTCTGGCACAATTTCAGTAAGCTCAGACTTTAACTCTAATAAGCAGGATATTCAAGTCATACAGAAAAGAATATCAGAAAAAGAAAATGATACCCCAGAACAGTGTAGTGTAGAATACTGCAGAATCTGTTTGTAAATCACTCCACAGTCTCTCATGCATCAGAGTTGTTCCTTAATTGTATGAAACTTTATTACGAGCTAGTGAATAATTATATATGAACAACGAACATTTGCTTTATTTAAATGCCTGTATGGGTGTCCAAAACCTTTACTTTCATCCCATTCTTTCTTGAAATGAAAGAAGGATTATATGGAAACGCCAGACCGGATGAGGACAATACCCACACTCACGTATGTCTGATCTAGAAAGTACCATACCCATATAAATACACAAAAGGCACATTTGACATGTTTAGGAGTTGTCAGATGTTCTTTGTTAGACATTCTGGGTTTTGTTCATGACATTGCTTATATTATTGCATTATATAAGTTAGCTTCTCAAAACCCTGCAGTAGGTGCTGAAGACCCATTATGCACACCATAAAGAAAACATCCATTAACCAATCTCCATGCCCATTGGTGAAGCCTGTGCTGGAAGCATTTTAAACAGGAAGCACAGCTCCTTCCCTTTTCCAGTCAGTTTGAGTTTGTGTCTTGTCCAGCCGGCGGTTGTGCTGAAACAGCAGCAACTGGCGATAAGCACTGCGGAGAGCTGATTGCAGGTCCCACAGGCAGCGTTTAAAATCAGGGCCCCAGTTACCACGCAGACCCTAATCCAGCTCCTCTTGTCCCTTTGTTTCAGGGGAGAAGGGGGTGGCAGCCTCTGAAACAAAAGGAAAATGAAGACTGGGGAAGCGAGTGTCAGCACAGGCTAAGACAGACAGGAAAGCATCAGCCATATGTTACTCAGCATTCCTGCTGCACCATAGGCTATGCAGGCAGCTTCAGCTCCTACCTCCCTCCTGCAGGACAGCACACAGTGGCCTCCTCATACCCTGCTCCACGGCAGTGTCAATGATGTGCTTAGGCACTTCTGAATTAAAAAAGACTACACCCCTATCAACAGTCTGGGTTTTGATCAGAACACCACTTGTATTAGAAGCTAAAAAACAGGCTTTTCAGCTTCACATCAGTGACTTTATGCTTCTCATTGCTTTCTGTATGAATTGAGTCATTTCTCCCTTACGGCTGACATACTTTGCTATTATTTTATTTTTTCCTTTTGGTTTTCCTTAATAATTTAACAGTGGTGTGTGCAATGAGTACAGCATTTTTGAGCTTTTAAAGATACTGCAATACTGACCTTTGGCACTAGATAGGGAGGTCGTGCATTCCTAATTAAAGTTCTCCTACTCCCTCCTCACTCCCCTTCTCTGTCCATTACATATGCATTTAACTAAGCCAGGATACAAGCTAAGTGCATCTCAATCATGCACCAGCCCTTTAACCTACCAAAAAGAGTTTCAAAGTCTTTGTGCATTTATCTGTGCTTACTCTGGCACTACAACATTTTTTGTTTAATACCAATACAAAAACTGTATATGACTGCAAAAGAAAAGTGTATTATTGCTAGTATAGATATGGCAGCTCACTTATTTCTGAATAATCATTCTTATGATCACTTATTATGATGTATTTATGAATAGAATGATTCCAAACGCAATAAAGCATTGCTTGAGAAACTAAATAAACAGTTGTTTTTCCTTGCTTTACGTTGGTGTGTGCTACTGACATTCTAGCTTGTGATTTCCTGGCGGTGGTCACCCTCGGGTTGTGAGGGTGGGCTTTCAGACAAATGACAGAAGGAAGGGTGGACGTTGGGAAGCACCTTTCCAGTCAGGCAATGCCAAAGAAATAGAAGCAAGAGAGGAAAAAGAACTTAGACTGAGAACCAACAGCCAGTGACAAATTGAAAATAAAATAAAGGCACAATAAAATAGATTTGAGAGGTAGGAGCCCATTTCTTGATAACTATAAATTACACTACCCCCTTAAATTGATATGGTGAATCATTTAGTTGAAATGATCTATATTTATAATGGATCAGGGTTCAGTGTCATGCTGAAACCCTTTGGTTACATGGTCATCTACTACAATATGATCCCATGTACAAAATCTATGGAAAAAAAAAACCTTAATTAAAAACCCCTTCCTGCCAAGTCGACATTATATTTCTTGGTGCTTTCAACCTGAATATATACTCATCTGTATCTAAACTGAGTAAGCTACTAGATTTATCATTAGTGCTTCCATTAACATTTAGATACGCAGTGTATTTAAATGTAGACACTATATCTCAGAAGTAAAAGAAAAATAGAATTCATAAGAACCTCAAGGAAAAGTTAGGGATAGTTCAGCCACCAGTGATTTAGAAGAAATGGTTAAGAAACCTGAGGTTTGATCAAACTGTGGCTGGACAGGGTGGGCCAGGTGCAGTACTTTGAAGGCGGACCCCACTCTTGCCTCCCTCATGGGCTGCCTCCAGAGTTAACCCCTGCAGTGCTGTTCCGCTTGCAGTTTCCATCCTCCCGGATCCAGCAGGGGGCGACCTGGTCCTCGAAGAGGTGGAGTCGGACTGGGAGAACGAGCCCACGGAGCAGCAAGCCCCCCCCGCCATGCCCCTAGAGGAGACCCCCCCTCTGCAGGAGGCCAGCCAGGAGCCCCCCACCCACCCCCGGATCCTAGCCATGCAGCAGGAGGACGCAGAGACGCAGACGGAGCGCTGGACGCCTCTTCTGCAGGCCATCCAGCAGGAGGCAGAGGCTGCCGCCAGGGCGGCGCTAGAGGACAGGTCAGCGAAGGGCCCCGCCTTTCTTTCCATCGCAGTCTTCCTCCCTCTTTGTTGACCAATTGTTCTGTTCATTGACTAGCAGACTAATCAATCCAGATGAAGTCTCAGATCACAGGGACGTACTGTATCGTTATGTGTCTGTTGATTCTTTGTCCTCATTTGGACAGCGAAGCAATAAAAATAGCAAAGAGATAGACTGGTTAATAGCACATAGTGGGGTTTTACCAAGGGTGGTTACGTTCAAACACAGGTTTTTGTTACTGTACCACAAAAAGGGAAGTATGGCTCTGTAAGAGTTCAAAGAAGAACAGAAACGATTCCCAGTCTCAGGAGTCTATCATATATGGACAGATTAAAGGAACTGAATCTCTTCAGACTAGAACAAAGACTGAGAAGAGACTTGATCCAAACATATAAAATCCTATAGGGTTTTACAAAGGATCGAGTCGTGCTAGTCTATAACACTGGGGATGAATTCAGATTCAGGTGGAAAACAAAGACACAGGATCCCTAGTAGAAGTTTAAAGGCCATTCATTTTGGACAGAGAACATTGTGGGTGTCTGCAACAAGCCCCCTTCAAGAAGGAGCTGGATTCAATTTAAGATTCACACAACTATTAAACAACCAAATGGACATCATAGGTTGAACGGTCTTACGTTCTTAAGTCTCCATGTGATTAACTGTTATATCTTACTTTCATTTCTAGTCCCTGTGCAATACATCTCTTTCTCTTAGTACGTTAACTCTCAAGAGATGCTTTAGTTTGACAAAAACAGATAAAAGACTATCTTATTTTTATTTATTATCTTTAACATGATGCCAAATGCCTGCACAAATAGGAATCCTCCAAGCGTTCTGCACCTTTGTTTTCAGAGCCTCTGCTGCTCAGAGTTGTGTTGACGAGAGCACTGATGTATTTCTGTATTCATTTCTAGACTCAGACAAGAAAAAATGGCGACAGAAAAGACCACAGAGGAGCTGGGTGAAAGGGCCGAACAATCAGTGGGAGAGCTGGACGATGGGGAACAGTAAGTTGCTCAATACCTTAACGTTTTGAACCTCCAGCTCAAATCATGTTTCATGAGTGATGGGGTTTTATTATCACAATAGTATTTTTGGCCTCTGTGTTATGTGATCATGTTCCTGTATCATGTAAAGGGGAAAAACTGAAAGTAAATCTAAAAACTACTTGCGATGGGGTTACTGGAGATTGGGCTCTGTCCTTACCATGATCTGGAGCTGTAATGGAACGTGCTCTGTAGGAATCCCAGCTGTTGCTCATGCTGCTTTCCATCTCACCGTGTAAGTATGGCGGTAGGGCCCATTGTAGCATTTTTTTCCAGAACTGTTTAATGACTTGCTCGCTGTTTGTTTTGTAAAGACTGCCCAATATCCAGGAGGAAGAGAACGAAGTGGATCCAGAGTAAGTTTCCAATTTCCACTTTTTCCTCATTCCCAGTTCCTTTTCCAAAAACTCCAGAAGTATTTCGCAGATATCACATGTGCCTGATATTATATTTCAGGCAGATCGGGTATTTGGTATTTGTCAAAACTGGGAAGACAGCTGGTGTTACAGTATATACTGTAACATACAAAGCTCAGCAAGTTGTACTAGGCTCAGTGGGTCTAATGCAGTCTGTATACAGTACAGATCACAGAGGGCAGGCTTTGACACTTTTCTTGTGCTGAAGTGTGTTTTTTCTTGGTATTTTTGTTTATGTCAGCATTAATTCAGGAAACAGTGCCTTTTCATTCTGTTTTTGACTCAAACTTAATCTTTAACAAGATATGTATTTACGTTTTATCTTAAAAATCAGATTTCTCTCAAACAGTATAAGACCTGAGATTTGTGTAGGAGCAAGATATGGGACTTTATTCAAAGATTGAGGGTAGGCAGTGTAATTATTATTATTATTATTATTATTACACCCTTTTACTTGGAATTCTTTTTGGGATCCTTTAAGACCAAAAGCAATACAGTACATACATGCAATTTTTGCAGCAGTAACCTGGTTTTCTGAGGTTTAGAGTCCAATTTTCACCCAAAACAAAGTGTTTGTTCAACCTGAGAAAATCAATCAGTATAGAAGCAGGGAGTTAAATTAATATGGGGACATCACCTAATATGAAAGGAAGTGGTGAATAACAATAACTTCCTATTTTATTGCTGTAGTTTCCTTTAAAATAACCAGGTAAATATGTGTTGTAGCTCAAATGAACTGTATTATTATAATATATCAGCACAGCCTATGCAATGCAGAAGAGGAAGAGCGCTGGCCCCAATTACTGTGTCCTGTGCTGTACAGGTTACAGATGATACGGGAGGAGAGCGAGGAGGACGACTCAAATAAAACCACAGAGTAAGGCTTCTCTGCCACACACGCTGGGCTGCAGCTGCGCAGTAGGTAAACTGCAGCCATGCCATGCTCAGGGATCAAACCTGGGTCAGCTGCTTGAAATGCAAGCTATGCTCAGCCCTGTGCCCCTAACACGGCTGCATGAGAGACAGGTCACCACAGGGGGGCAGAGTGCCAGGCCCCAGTGGTCACGCACAGTCCAGGTTTCTGCTGTAATCACATTCATTTCCATTTTCAATTTCGATTGGTCTCCGGTAAAAACTATAAAAATGTGGTACTCACACTGATAACAGGCTGTTATCGGTGACCAGCTTTTGTTGAAAAAAACCACGGACAGCCTCTCCTACAAGCAATTGTTGGAGTCATTGTGACTTTTAAGAGCAGGCAGTCACCATGAATTGTGGGATGAATATTAATCATCTTTTGCTGTCTCGGCATGCGGGGGTGGAGGAGTGCAAATTCAAGGTCTCAGTTCCTGGAGGGCCCAGCATGAGCATGTTTCCACCTGAATAATCAATTAAACATTTAACCTAATAATGTCCTTAGTCTGACAGTAATAGGAGTGGTATTGAGGTCCTTTGCAATATAACTCAATATAACTTGCCTACGAATGTTGCGGTTATGGGATTAATGAATTAGATCATCCCTGTAACTGAGGTCAAGTGGGATTAAAGCCAGAAGACACCGGGCTCTCCAGGAGCTGAGACTCTTAGCCTAAAGAGACACAAAAGGAGGAATTAAAACTCTGGTTTGATGGTGCTTCCCAGGTGTTATGAAACTTCTAATTAATATTCATTTCTATAACATAGTTATTTTCTATATTACTTGCAGGTTAAATCAGAGCCCTAGATTGAGATGATTAATGCATTACTTGCCCATACCAAACAAGGCATACATTGGGTGTTCACACTATGAGCCTGGATTAAAAAGCCATCTTCAGTCAATGCAAATTCAGCATCCCTCACAAGTTATCAGAGGCCTTGTTTCACTTTGCAGTGCCTTGGTGATGGCTGGCTCATGGATTTCTTAAGGCTTGCTCACAAGCTTAAGCAATAGGTGTTAATGATATCATGATAGGGTACACAGTTCCTCCTTTGGCTTTTATGATGCAAAGTAAAAACTCGTAGAATCATTCCATCATTTTGAATGTACTTTTCCAGCCCCTGTAAGAATTAAATAACACCGTTCACAGCGAATGTGGAAATCAAGGAATCAACTGCCCTCATGTCGCTTGTTTCTTTAGATTTAAAAATATTTTTTATTGCCACATACTGCATTTGTGTTTTTTTTTTGTTAATCAGATTGAAGGAACTAAATTAAGCAGACTGAGGTTTGAAGATCCATCTGAAGTGATTGACTTTGTATTTAGAAGTGCAGTTCTGCTTCAGAACTGATTAGTGTGATAGGCTTTTTAGATGTTTCCACTTTGCTTTACACAGTATATTAAATACTCTCTATGCTTCAACCCCTAAAACTTTTAAAGATCCAAAGAAAAGGTTTTGTTTGATCAACCACTCTGAACAGAATATATTGTATCTGCTTATATATTTTGCCTTAGAATTGTTTAATCCCGTCATTGCCTTTATTAATAAAAAAAGTCATTCTTTGCTTTGAAGAAAATTCCAAAATACTATTATCATTATCATTATCATGATCATTATCATTATCATTATCATTATCATCCACGAATTCCCCTGGAGGATAACCACAGAACAATTGTTGTGCAAATCCGCTATCTGTCAGTTACGGAAGCTCAGACATTTCTGGAAAATCGACCGCAATTTAAGGATGATCGCTAATTAGTCCCGGTGTTATAGCAACTGTTCTCTTCCGCTCTAGCAACCACTTAGCGTCTCCCAGCAACCGCGGTCCCATCTTACCGGTTGCCTTAGTTACTTTTCCGTGGTTCCGCTGAACCGCACGCTTGGCCCTGGCACTGAGACGGGACGGCCCGGGTTCGAAGGAATCGCCCTGCAATTTAGCAATAGTTTTTACAACGAGAGTCATTGAGATAAAACACTTCACGCCGATTGATCGGAGTGGATGCACATCGGTCATTTATATTGAGTCGCACATCCTCCTGAAAGCGGTTTTGGAAACGGGGATGGTTCAATAAGTACCGGGTGAGTAAGTCTCCTGTCAGGGATGAGAAACAGTGCTGTTAATACCTCCACCTGCAAGCCGGACTGCTTCGGTTTTATATTTTTCTTAGACAAAGACTTAACGTTTTTGGATATCATTCACCATATTAAGGCATTGAGTGCTGTTGCGCAGTATAAAAATGGTGTATTTCACATCTTTCCGTGCTCGCTATAGAAATCACGAGTTGCGGGATATTAAATAATGAATTAAAGGTCAAATTCAACCAGGAGAATTTTAACGATTGTTATTGGGACTCGTCAGCAGTCTTTAGGAAGACGGAGCATCCATAGTGGTATTTAGGATAAATGCAGGTAAATTAGTTGAACACAGCTGCTGTCTTTCTGTATCGGTAGCGGTAACCTGTTAGGTTTAGACCTAGATGAGAGATGCTTTCACTTTCGCTGCCTGAATTGTAAAGAAGGATTAACACCTTTTAAACAGGCTTCGAAAGAAAGGGGAGTTTTGTAGTTTATGGGCTGTAGATCATGCTCACCAGCTGTTTCGAGACAGAGCTGGGGAAAGTTACTTTTCAAAAATCGTGCATGCCAGCTACAAGTTACTTGTGTAAGGGCAAACTTTAAAAAAAAAATAAGAAGAAATGAGGGCGGACTCTTTTAGAAGTAGTTTGCATTGGAACTGCACGAATACTACATAAACCAATGCAACTGATAATTTTTCAAAATTATTTACCCCTCACCCCATCAAAAATAATCCCCGCTGCCCAGTTGATAAAAACGGATCCCTTCCACAGGTGACTTGGAATAACTTGGAACTGGAATGCATTACTTTAAAAAAACAAACTTTTCCCTCCCATCCCGTCTAAAGCTGTTCCTCTGTATCAATGATCTCCTCCCAGATTCGTTTATGAGTGCCAGTCTCAGTGGGATTACTCCATGAAAAAAAACGGAGGGGGAGACAGTAATGTCCTTTTTAGGTATTCCTGTCCTCAAGTCTGCCACACGCTTTGACAGCACTGGTGTGTCCCCTGATCCTCGGCGGTAACATGGGCTCCTTGCTTTGCTCTCAGGCGCCTCCTAGTGGACGTGTGTCCTGCAGGCGGCTTCCCTAGCGCCCTCCACACCGAGCTGGGCGAGGACGGGACTCCCGCAGCGTCGGAGGGAAGCCCAGCTCCGCCCGAGGCCGCTACAGAACCGGAGGAAGAGCCCGTGAGGGAGGGGTCCCCAGGGAAGCAACAGTCCCCGGTAGGAGAGGCATGTGCCGTACAAGAGCCTGAACCAGAACCCGAACCAGAACCCGAACCCGAACCCCAACCGGAACCAGAGCCCGGACCAGAACCGGGACCGGAACCAGAACACGAGCCAGAGACTGGACCCGAACCAGAACACGAACCAGAGACTGGGCCAGAACCGGAACCAGAACCGGAACCAGAGCCCGAACCTGAACACGAACCAGAGCCTGGACCAGAACCAGAGCCCGAACCAGAACCAGAAGCAGAACCTGAAGCAGGGGAAGGGGGCTCACCAGCACAGCAGCCTCAGCGGGTGCAGGAGTCCCCCGTGAGGGAGGTGCCGCCTGCAGAGGACCTGAGGGAAGAAGCAGCGCAAGAGGCAGAGCCTGTGACACAGCAGCCCGACACAACAGAGGCGCTGGAGCCCCCTGCTGGTGCCCACCAGGTAATGGCGTCAAATCCTGTATCCATTGCTGCGGTCTCTGCTTGATTTCTTCCAATGGCAGGGAAGAAAGCTCTTCTCAGTGGGGCATGTTTTTAAGCACATTTTATGTGTTACAGTATTTAATCGGTACATTTGTTTGCAAAATGTTATAAAAGACCTGAAACAGAAAATGAATATTTTGACATGTCAGCTTTTTTATTGAGGGGAGAATCTATTAACGAATGTGATATCTGCAATTCCCCTTTGCCGGTTTTCTGTTCATCAGATTTAAAAAGTAGAAGCCCCAGAGTGCCGTAGACACAGATGTGTGGCGTTGCTCCTGATTTATTGCTGATCCTTTGTGTATTCTTAAGGAGGAGGAGTCCCAGGCTGTTGAAGAAGAGTGTGGCGGTAGGTTGACTGTCTTTCTTCAGGCTGTTATCAATCACTTTCAGAAAAGAGCCCTCATAACGAGCAGTCCAGCACTCAAGTCCCCGAGTCTATTGCTTTTGAATGACCGTGTTATGGAAGCTTTATATTCTACCATTCATTCCTGTTGCTTTATTTGCAATTTTGCTGTTCAGTACTGATGACATTATGGTTGCATGAAGTGAAAAATGACTCTATCCCAAGGACAGTATGATAAAAATACTGATATCAGTATCCGAACTGGTGGTTTTTTGTGACACCACATTACAGAAAGAAAGTAGAAAGGGGCTAATGATGCTTTAAATCTAATCTCGTTCTCCTCATGCTTTAACAAGAAATATGTTTTTAATCTTTAAAGACTGGTTGCAGTAGGGCTGGCTGAACTTAACGTAGCGTGCATATGGGAGGAGATCCTATGGCCGTTCCAGCTCATTTGCTAGTCAGTAGTTTATTGATCCGATGGGCTCATCCAGCTGTTTCTTGAAAGAAGCCATGGTATGGGCTTCAACGACATGGCAGGGTAGCTTGTTCCACACTCTCACAACCCTTAGTGTAAAATAGGGCCTCCTGTTCTCAGTTTTAAAACTGATTTCCAATCCTCACTTGTGTCTGCTGGTTCGTGTTTCGCTGTCGGTTGATTGTTGGTTAAAGATGACCAACGGGCTGATTTTGACAAGGCCTTTGAGGATGTTTAGGTCTAATATTTAACCTCCTGGAATCATGTTTCTTCTTAAATTCTTATTAAAAGTAATAGATGCAACAATAAAGGCTCCAGAGAGTTTGCTCTAGGAATCCATTCATCTGCTGCCTGTTTTTGAAAAAGGAAATCTGTGAACTGAGGGCTAATTCTGTCTCTACTCTTGTGATCTCTTCTGCTCCTAGTCTTGCCGAGGTGCTCAGCCCTAAAGCACTGGCTCATGAGTTTTCCCAGACCACACCTGCCTCAGTGTCTGACCCGCCTGACCCCTTTCACCTATTTCACTACTTTCAGCTGCCCAAGTTGCCGCAATCACCTCAGCTGCCTTGACTTTCCCAGCTGCCTGAACTGCCCCAGCTGCTCCAGCTGCCTGAACTACCCAAGCTGCTCCAGCTGCCTGAACCACCCTAGCTGCTCCAGCTGCCTGAACTACCCCAGCTGCTCCAGCTGCCTGAACTACCCCAGCTGCTCCAGCTGCCTGAACCACCCTATCTGCTCCAGCTGCCTGAACCACCCCAGCTGCTCCAGCTGCCTGAACCACCCCAGCTGCTCCAGCTGCCTGAACTACCCCTCCTGCTCCAACCGCCTGAAGTTCCCCACCTGCTCCAGCTGCCTGAACTGCCCCAGCTGCCTGCCCTGTCAACAGTATGTCTAAGCAACAGAACCCAGATCTGGAGTTAGACCACCTAGTCCGCGAAACATCCCTGCACCCCAGAACTCCCACCCCTTCCTCCTCCAGCAGCGCGCTAGAGCTCCCCAATGTTCCCAGTTATCACCGCTTGCCCCCCATCAGGCTCCAGAGAGAGCTGTCAGGGCTCTCCAACCCCAGCTTCACCGCAGAGGAGGGCCACGGTCCCACCCCACCCGCAGGTGAACAGCTGTTTGCGCCCGGCATCCTCACCAGTGCTGTGCTGTGCTGTGCTGTAGTCCTTTGCCATAGCTGTTTCTGTTGTCTGTGTCATTTCTGAATAGCTTTTCAATGTTGGTTTTGGTTTCTGTTTTCACCTGTTATCCAGTAAGCAGTTCTATAAGGGCTTGTCCAGTTGTATCAAAGAGCTGCTATTTTCGTGTTTAGGCATGTGGATAGTGAACGTTGAAATTATGTGTGATAAATAAGTAATTCATATTAATATTATAGTATTACATTATTAGGCTGTTCTTCTTTTACCATTATTTGGTTAGCCTAACAGCCACTAGTTTGCCAGTGTATGGCAAATGCAGAGCCAATGTGAAGAATCAGATGATCCAACAAGGAACAGCTCCTAATGTTCACAGTTCTTCGGCTGCCGGTAATCAATACACGTACAATTTGCTTTGCTGGGTGGGGATCTCTGGGTCTAAAGAGCCTTGTCCCTTCCTCAGAGAGCTCCAGGCCGAGCATTCACCCTTCTGTCAATGTGGAAGATGTGGATTCTGACGGAGATGCCAGTGGGGGTCACCAGAAAACGTCTCCTGTCATTCTCCCCTCATCCCCGTACACCAGCAAGACCCTCACGGTCCCAGGGGTGCCCGTGGCAGCTCGGAGGTGAGGCCCCAAGGGGGCATTTTTGGGCATTTTTGACTCCTACACAGACAAATGGTGCATTTTAGCTGTTTTGTAGCTTTTTTTTACCAGTTCTTTATCATTTTTAGATGCCAAATATGTGAATATTCTAAAACAAACATGCAGTTCTTTGTCCCCTCCCAGAATTATTTTTTACAGTCAGGCAAACAGAGCACAATCTACAGTTTCTAAGCTAGTAGTGAATTAAAAAGAGATAAATGAACATTCCTGAAGTAACTGAGGGCAGCATATCACTTATTCCAGGAGTTTAGGGCAAGTAGAAGAATATAGAGGGATGTAAATTACTTCTCTTTACCCTGGTATCATGTCTGTTTTTGTTTTTTCTTTTCTTCTCTTCTCCTGTTTTTTTTTTAAAACGAAGCAGCTCATCTCCAGATAAAGAGTAAGAATATCACACTGATAACACTCTGCTGAGGTTACCAATGAATAGCTGTAAAAAATACAGCTCCCTGTATAATACATGGACATTTCCCAAAACAGCCACCTCATCATCCTAGATTTTGCTAATTGTTTGGCATCACAGTAAGAACTTTCTTTTCATATTTTTAGTACGACGAGGCCTTTTGATTCAAATAATTTTTCCAGCGTTAAGAAATGTTGGCGTTAGGGTCATTCTGGGATAGAGCTGAATCATTGTTTCAAAAACCCTTCTAATTCAGATAAGATCCGTTTCACTGATTTCTGTAAGATGGTATTTTGGCTTCTTGCCATAAATTAGCAAAATTTATAGAATGACATGCAAAGGCTTGCAAAATATAGGCATTACCCCCAATGCCATGACTTCTGGCTTGATGGTCTTGCTGAAATTGCAAGGACTGTGTTCCTGATGGGGTGGGTCAGAGTTGTGCTGCTAATTATTAGAGCAATAACTTTCTGCGCTTTCTTCCCTTACCCAGAGTTGTCAGCCAGTACTCGTTTTTTAACTGTTTCTGTTACTCTTGCGTCTGTCACATCATGTGTTGTTTTCATTATAATAAATAAATGAGGAAAATCTCACTCCATTTTCTGTGTTTGTTCTGCTTCTAGAAATAAGTAAAGAATTGCATTATCCTTATAGCTTTTTAGAATATGAATTTTGTCTGAGTGTTGTTTATTTATTTTTTGCTTTAGCTGTGAACTAAAAGTATGTGTCACTAATTAATTTCATAGAACCTTCTTTGACAGGACTAGGATTGTGTATTATTTCATGCCAGTTTCTTGTTCTGATTATTCTTCTTAACCCTGTCCCTCTACACCTGGAGGCCAAATGTACTGTATCTAAAGACTTGCAGTCCAGCTGGGGTCTTCACAACATTGATATAATCATTGCTGAAGTTCAAATATTTACCTGCGTCAGCATGTGTAGGCTGCAAAGGAACAAGTAAAGGTTTATTCCATGCTGAAAGGGAGAAAAAAAAGAAACACAACGTTTCGGCTGTGGAGCCATCTTCAGGCGTGACACCCAGAGAAGACAGACCTGAAAAAGCCAAAATATTGTGTCTCTTTTCTTTTGAGCATGAAATTAATCTTTATTTGTTCCTAATGGACGTTGTCGGCTTGCTTCGACCAGTTTAACAGCTCTTCAAGTACTGGTGCTCCAAAGAAACTTGAAAAATCCACAGACACACCAGTCCTATAGGACTGGGACTGGGACACCTGTACTACACAATAAAAAAAGTCAGATAAACCAAGTTAGTTCCAACTAGCAGCCTTTACCCTGTACTCTAATTGTCACTTAGCATAAGAAGGCTCATGTCTCTAGCTGAAACAAGACGCATTAATGTGTGTATTCAGCACTGAATTGTGCTATTTTAGTTTAGCTAACCAGATGTCTTCGATTATTTTCACCTTTATGCGACTGAAATCCTTGGTAGTTTGGTCCTGGAGTGAGAAATTAGAGTTTATTCCTCGGATGTTTTAGTACACAAGGTAAAATTATCTTGTTTTAGGTTATTTCCAACTTAAAGCCATGCTGCCCACCTATCTATTGCGATCGATGTAAATAATCAAGTAGAGGTGTGTGCCACACCAAAAACGTTTCGGCTGTGTGTGTGTGTGAGCGGGAGGTAGGAAGAGGCTGAGGTGTGGGCCAGAAAAAGGAATGTGAGAGTGGGCAAAGAGTGTCCAAAGAAATGGAGTTCTGAGAGATTAATTTAATGTTACCAGTGTTTATTTAATGTAAACAAGCTTCTAATGTGTATGTTAACAGGAAGAGAGAAATCCAGATATTGCTTTTTAAACTGGCATTTCTTCATATCCTGGAATACAAAGGCTTGCGTTCCCATGACCCATGGCAATGTACAGTACGTCAGACCCTGAACAGACCCTTGTTAGAGAAAAAGCCACCCGACAGACAACACAGGCTTATCCTGTGAAATGCATCTGCTGTGTTTTCCGTGCTTCACTTCAACTGTCTTTTATAGGTCGCTTCACTCCTCTCTCTGTCTCTCTCTGTTCTTGCTCCCTCTCTCTCGCACTCCCCCCACCCCACGCCTCGCGTGCGTCTCCGTGCGAACGGATCCGCGGGATGCTCTAGAGAACAAAGGTTGCAGAATTTCTGGACCAAGATGTAAGACGCATTCCTCCGAAAGCCAAACAATCAAAAAAGGAAAAGACCCCCCAAAAAAACAGCATGTTTGTCGTCCACCCCAGAACTCATCAGTGGTATCCACTATCTCTTCCATGCTTTCGGAGTTTACCCCATCACATCAGTCCATGCATTGATTTCCATCCTGGAAACTTGGGGGCGAGCTATTTCAAGCATGCAAAGCTGAAGACCCTAGTTCTGTTCATGAAGCGCATGCTGTCCTGCCATCCATATCTCACCGGAGATATGCTGGAGTAAGGTCTGGTAGATCAACTGGCTTCTGCCCACATCAGTGGAGTTGCTTGCTTGCTGATTAAACTGTGGCCAAGTGGAGGAAGGCTGGGACATGACACTCACATTTTCTTACAAATTCGAAAGTGCTCTTGTGCTTTTTCCAGCCTTCTAGTTGACACATCCATTTTGGAAAACCACAGGGCTTTCTACTGAAAAAAAACGCATTCATGTTTCTTTTCTGTTCCTAATAGATTCAGCATAAATTTAATGGATCATCATACTGTATATGTTAAAATTGGTGATTTTTCATTATGATAATTTTTCTTCTGATTTTGCTCTCCTTTAGATTCTCTGGCATAATGATGTAACATTCCTTTACGAATACAGGAAAGGGCCAAACATACTTAGTGAGCAGTGTTTTTGAATTTAGATCAAAGATCTGCAATGTTGTCAGCTTCCTAATAATTTGGACTTCCAACAGGATAATAGGCTTTGATCAGGCTGTGCAGCCATATTCAGTATATTAGAACCCGCTGAAACCAGCCTGACCCCAATCTTATTGTAATCCCTTTGGTCACTTTGTGCCAGTTTTAGCAATGTGAAATGATCTATGAGTCTTCTACAACAGCAGGGTCTCAACCTTTCTCTGTGCCCCTTCCCACTCTCCTGTCCAGTGGTCCGCCGTCTCACCTGTCCCTCTGTTCTGTGCTGGTCAGAAAGAAGCTGTACTCCCAGGAGGAGAGCATGGAGGACGCAGAGACCACAGTGAAAGCCTGGCCCAGCCAGACCAGCCTGCTGTCAGAGGATGAGTGAGTGAACTTGCGATCTGTTTGAATGACACGTGTCCTATCAGCCTGGGAACCGCTGTGGGAAAGACTAGCAAATAGTTTGTAAATCTGTATTAAAAACAGATTCAATAGCTTATGTATTATATGTCTATATATTAAAGATATATGGTGCATCATTTCTTATGTTGCACTAAAAATAAGCTGTAAAATTGTATATAGTCGAATTCAAGTATAGTCAGTTAAAATTTTAGAAAATTCTAACGTTGCACTTTATGGATACTGTATGCAAATATTAGTCACTTATCTACTTTAATTTTAAATTTAGGGAGACTTGTTTATGCTTAAATATATCTGTGTACACTTTTAAACTGAACTAGTTACTAGTTTAGTAACCTCCATATGTGCTGTTGAACGATCATTGTCACATTCTTTTTAAGGTAAAATGTGTGGTATTTTTACCTGTTAGCTGAGAGAGCGAGGTCGAATTTTGTCTGGCCCATGTGTGGTTTCTGACTACACCCCTCATCGGTTAGCTGTATTCATAAGATCTGCACCTCTCTGGGACTGAGGAACCCAGGAAAAGTGCCTCCCAGTAGGACTCCTTGAGTGTTTCTGTGCGGCGTGGCACAGACAGCTTGATTTCAGTGGACCCGCTCTCCTGCGACAGGATGAGGGAGAGGCCCGCGTCAGCCGCCAGTCAGACCAGCACCATCGTGAACGAGCGCCTGCAGGAGCTGGTGAAGATGTTCAAGGAACGGACGGAGCGCGTGAAGGAGAAACTCATTGATCCCGACGAATCCGACAAAGACAGCCCTTCCGCCAGTGAGTCTTCAAGACACCCACATGAATGCACGTGGCATCCGGGCCTATGGTCACACACTTTTCAACCACTGTTATAAAGGCTGGGTTCAACTCCAAGACCTTGCCAAGCTCTGTCTAAGCTTGCAGTTCTGCATTCCAATGATAACAGAGGCATCTAATACTACCCCAAGGTCCTCTCTGTTTTAAATAGCCCTGATCCAAAGCAAGATACGGACCTGGTGTGATTCCGTGCTCATCTGATCGGGGGGTTGCGACAACCAGGTTTTTATTCCTTTGGCAGCTCCAGAGAAGAAACTCCCACCTCCTCCCCCTCCCCCGGAGAAGAAAGAGGAGCCAGCGCCTGAGAAGGAGGGCGAGGAGCACTACTGCGAGATGCTGTGCTGCAAGTTCAAGACCATGCCCTGGATGACAAGGCTGAAGGAATACCGCTTTCCCCAGAGCATCGACCCCTTCACCAGTGAGGCTCTAAACACCCTTCTCTCATTCTGTACAGCCCAGGTATCAGGACAAAAAAGCACTGCTCATAACAAGTCACGGTGGGCAAAGGGTTTTGCTTTTCCATAGTAGCTGTGCACCTAGCTTAGGAATGTGCTAAGCTGCATAGATAAGTACTGTAGGAAATAATGCTGGTGAATTCACTTGTGTCACAAGGAGCTTTAGTGATTAAGAGGTCATTCAAAAGCTTTCTGTTTCTTATATTTCTTGGATCCTTTTTGGTGTCATACCCCAGCTTTTCCAGTTTCGTCCCTGCCAGTTTCCTCATGCTGCTGACAAGAGAAGTGACTGCCGCCCTCTCCTCTCCTCCCCAGATCTGATCTACGTGCTGTGGCTCTTCTTTGTCACGGCGGCTTGGAACTGGAACGTGTGGCTGATCCCGGTGCGCTGGGCCTTTCCCTACCAGACCCCTGACAACATCCATCTCTGGCTGCTCATGGACTACCTGTGCGACACCATCTACATCCTTGACATCCTGGTCTTCCAGCCTCGTCTGGAGTTCGTCCGAGGCGGAGATATTGTGGTGAGCGCTCAGCATGACGCACAGACGTGGTCGACCCCCCTTACAACTAAGGCGCTGAGAGCCGATTAGAGAATATGTGCTTTTTCCATGTGTTATATAATAATAATTCCTTACACTTATTGCTCTTTTCTGGGCACTCCACTCAAAGCACTTTACAGGTAATGAACACTCTCCTCCACCACCAATGTGTAGCCACCACCTTGCAGCTAAAGTGAGCCAGTACGCTCACCACACATCAATTAGGAGGAGAACAGAGTGATGAAGCCAGTTCATAGATGGGGATTATTATGAGGCCATGGTTGGTAAAGGCCAGGGGGAAATTTGTCCAGGACAAGGGGGTTGGCTCTTCTGTATGAATTTTTACATAGGATATTGATGGTTCACTTTTATATTGTGCAACTCATGTCCATATGTTAACACTGAACACAGGGGTTGGCTTTTTAGATCGCATGTGATTGACAGCCACAAAAGCCTGTACAAAAAACAAGTAATTCCAGGAGCCAAGCCAACAGGATAATAATAAAATCTCTTCACTGACCAATGATCTGCGTCTGAAGGGGATCATGTTTCTTTCTTCTTTTATTTTAGTGTGACAGAAAGGATATGAGAGAAAACTACATGAAATCCCATCGCTTCAAGGTAAGAGCAATTTCAATACACTAGGAGAATCAGAAATAAGCTTTTGTGTAGAACAAACCAATGATTCTCAACCAGTGGGCTGTGAGTCACCAGTGTCCACTAGTGGGTCATGGAGCTGATAAATACTGAGCAGAAGTATTTACTGAGCAATACAATAATTCATATAATAAACTAGAATAGTGGTGATTGTATATCACTATCTCCAACTGTGATGCAGCAATAAAAAGTGCAGGATTAATTACGTTTAGACTATAATTTTACCTGTCAGTGATCTGTGCCCACAAAAACATTGAGCTTCTGGGTTTCAAAGAATATTGCGCTTGACTCGTTTGGATATCATTAATTAGAAACAGATGCGTTCACAGTTACAGTGGTTTTGAATTTCAAAGGGCAGAAGGAACTTGACTTTTTAGAGGTACTGTAGCTTCCTACCAGAGCAACAGCAGTGTTTCCAATGAATACTACCCTGTAAGAAAGTCATCAGGTGTCTGGTTCCTTTTACTGCCACATAGCTGTGTCAGGGATTTCTCCTGTACCTGTAACAAACACAGAACAGTAGAAATAAGCTGCACAAAATGATCAATTCCACCCTGAAGTGATCTGATTTTTTTCCCAGAAGCAATCCCAAGTGCCTCTCTGAGGGTAGCAGTGTGTATGTTTACTTTTGATTAAAACTGCAGAAAGCTACATATAAGTTCAAAATACCCTGTGTAACCATAGCTTGTTTCCTCTCACCTTTTTGTAAATTATTGTTTATGTAGGCCTTGAGACATCCTGGATTATACCTTGCTGTTTTTTCACATAAGTGAAACTATGCATGTATATTTCTGGTCATCTGTGTTTGATGTGTTCCAACTGGAGTCTGACAACAATACCAGCCAAGCCTCTTGCCTTCTGTGTTTCAGATGGATCTCATAGCTCTTTTCCCTCTGGATTTGTTGTATTTAAAAGTTGGAGTTAACTCTTTGCTGCGATTTCCTCGTTTACTGAAGGTAAGGAATCCCAAGAGTGAGAAGTTGGTCTCTCGGTTTCCATGTCTTGTTCTTCCAGACAGAAGATACTGTATCCTGGGTCTGCAGGGCAGCAGCCAGATGTGGCAATAGATAGGAGGCTTGTATGGTCAGTCTTGTATTTAACCTCTGTAAAAAGGTTTATCAAGCTTCAGCACCCCACCTACAGAAGGCAAATAAATTGACAACCCAAGGCATATTTAGAGACAAAACCAAGTCCAAAACTGAGAAGCACCATGAGAATCTGAAGCTGGGGTTCAACACAAGCCAACTCCGAAGAGCTTGGGAAATCTAAACTATAAAGGTGTAGTAAAGAACAAAGTGAGGTCAGGAATCTAGGAGGCACAAAGGTCAGGAACACAGGAACTCTAACGAAGCTCCAAGCAAATTCTATACCTGATTTCAGAGCATAATCCAAGCAGACCCTAAGTAGCCTGAACAACCTGGGGCAGGCCTGATTGTAAGTTGCCCCAGGTGGTACAGGTCCGTTGTCTGATTGCATATCCATGGCAGGCAGCACTGACTGACAGGTGAGAAAAGGCATGGCCAGCTGCCATGGCAATGCTAGTTTACTTTGCAGTTCTCCATCAGGAGTAAGCATGACAAATGCATTGTTCTAATTGTGTTGCTAGTTTCAAACTGGTTTTCTGCATCTGATGTTATGAATAGCTTGCTCTAAAAGAACTGCTGTTTGTGCACTCTTTATATACAATCAGAATATTGCACTGTATGCTCATCCAGGTTAAAGGACTAGTCCGTATCTGATCAAATGTGTTAATGGTAGATTATAGGTACTGTATATGTTACCAAATTTGTCATAGAGAAAAAAAACCACCTACTGAAATTATACCTTCTCAATTTCTCCAGCCGACCCAGTGTTCTTTTTAATCATACAGTACATGGCTTTCTTTGAATTCAATGACCGCCTGGAAGCAATCATGAGCAAAGCTTACATCTACAGGTAAGAACAGTGTGAACTGACCATTGTTTAGTAAGTCCAAGGTAATCACAAACATCGTAAAGAATTAGACTAGATGAAAAATAAAAAGTGCAGAAACAGTGAATATTTACATGATGTGCTCTTCTTGTAGTGAAAAGTATTTACAAAACAGAAACAGCCAAACATTCAATAAATATTAAAAGTATAGTTTCCCCAGGGAACTATAAGGAAATTCTTTCTCCAAGGAATTTCTGACACGTTAAGTTGCATTGGCCAAAGATAACTTAATGTTCGGTAATAACACGCAGACAAGCACAGCCAAAGACAAAGACTCTCTGCTACACCTTGAGTGCCAAGTTAAGTAATTCTAAATAACTTAAATAGCTCTGCCCTCTGGCAACTTTTGATGGGCAGGTAAAAGATTTATACCAGAGACGAGTCAGGGTCTATAACCTGACACGTAATGGCAGGACAGCAAGGTCAACACTGGTAATACTCTTACAAATAACTTTAACTAATTCAACAACAAAATAAACAATGCAGGTTCACGGTAAAAAAAAAAAGGAATTATAAAATATTATAAACACACAAATATGATGTCCTTCCCTCTATATTCCAGAACGATTTTAATCGAACAGATAAATGAGCAAGGCCTGTGAAAGACCTCATCAGAGGTCTTTCTTCAGAGATAGATGTGCTTCTTTTCTAAAAGAAAAATGCGAAGCAAGACAAAAAACTTGCAGTAAAAGCTCCCGCTGTCCTCTCTGTGTGATCCCAGAGTCATCAGGACCACTGCCTACCTGCTCTACTCCCTGCACTGCAATTCCTGTCTCTTCTACTGGGCGTCTGACTACGAGGGCCTCGGGTCCACCAAATGGGTCTACGACGGAATTGGGAACAGGTGGATTAGCTTACTTTTCTCTTGGCTTGACGCTTTGGCTGCTCACATTTCCTGAGAGAGCCCCAGCTGCAGCCCTGTGAGCCCTTTCACCAGCTCAGTAGTCACGGGGTCACCCGTCGTCATTTGTCTTTACTACTTTGTCTTTACTTCGCTCTGTCTTGAACGTGTTTGGCGCTTTGCCCTCTCCAGCTACATCCGCTGCTACTACTTTGCAGTGAAGACTCTGATCACCATCGGGGGGCTTCCAGACCCCACGACCCTCTTTGAAATCATCTTCCAGCTGATCAATTACTTTGTTGGGGTCTTCGCCTTCTCCATCATGATTGGGCAGGTAGGTTTGCCCTGTGCTTTTTTTCTTACGGTAAAAACTCAAAGCCCAGCAGGTCATTCGGAAGTCCTCTCGGCTCAGAATAATCCACTAGAGGTTCTTGTACATGCGTTGTTTCAGATGAGAGATGTGGTGGGAGCTGCCACAGCTGGCCAGACGTATTACCGCGCCTGCATGGACAACACCATCAAGTACATGACCTCCTACCGCATTCCCCGTGACGTGCAGAACCGCGTCAAGACCTGGTACGACTACACCTGGCAGTCCCAGGGCATGCTGGGTAAGGAATGTTGAGCATTTCATTACTGGGAGTGGCTGTGTAATTAATGCATGTTTATGAGACGGATTTCGGCCAGGCTTTGCTTCAGCAGTGAGACCTTATACTTAAGTACCATCATGTGCTGTGCTCCTATTCTTCATTCCTTCTCCCCCACTTTCAGATGAGCAAGAGTTGCTGATCCAGCTCCCAGATAAAATGAGGCTGGATATTGCTGTGGATGTCAATTATTCCATCGTCAGCAAGGTGGCGCTATTTCAGGTAAGTCCCTCTAGCTGGTAGCTTTCGGATATTAACTCTAGGAAATGCTTGAGAAGGAGTGTCATTGTCAGTGTCATTTTGATTGGTTGTTTTCTTCACTGCATCATAAAAGCCGAGCTTCTCTCCCTCCGTCTCTACAGGGCTGTGACAGACAAATGATCTATGACATGCTGAAGAGGCTAAAGTCTGTAGTTTATCTACCTGGAGATTATGTCTGCAAGAAGGTAAAGGGACAACTGGCCTCCCGTCTTTTCTCTTTGCCACACAGCAGGGGATGTGTCCGGAGTAGCCTTTAGGGCTTGGCCAGAAAGCTCAGGGATCCACAAACCCAAGTCATCACACTTCTCCACCATGAGGAACTATCCTGATTTTAACTTCTCTCAAACATCCTTACTACTGCTGAGAGCTGAATATCACACCTTTGCTGTCCAGTTGGTGAAATCATCAGTCTGAAATAATGACCTACTTGGCCTCTTCCCCATTCTTCATGTATGCATATATTGGATACCTGCCCTTATGATGTGTGTAGCACTGTTAATTGCCTCATACAGAAAGCAAACAAACAATATATTTCTGTCTAATTCAGGGTGCTAGCCATGTCGCAAAGGACAGGGAGGCAGAGTTCAGACACACAGCAGGCCGTGTCCGCTGTGGTGTGACATCAGCAGTGAACAGCAGTGTGTGTGTGAAGAGGCCCCTCTTGTTTTGCAGGGTGAGATCGGGAGGGAGATGTACATTATCAAGGCAGGAGAGGTGCAGGTGCTGGGTGGTCCAGATGGGAAAACGGTCTTTGTGACTCTCCGAGCAGGTTCTGTGTTTGGAGAGATCAGGTATGTTTTCCTCTTTTTTTTCAGAAAAATAATGCCCGATGCATTCCTACACGTATTGTTGAAATGACATATATATTGTAATGTGCAGTCTGAACCAGCCAGATTAAACCTTGTTAGTTCTGTCATTAGTGACCAGTTCAGGAACGCTCAGGTGAAGATAAAGAGGTTTTGTCCTATTTTGGAATGGATGCCTCTTTGCATTTCAGAAACAGTTACCCTCCCAGTAGCTTGCCATTCTATGTGCTGTGACGTTTTTCCTATTGAATCTAAAACGTTGTTCTAATCTGAAGTATTGTGCTTGTGTGTGTTTCCTTACACTGCAGAGGTCTGAAAGCAGGTTTTAGGTTCTAAGCCTGGAACGGGTGGTGGGACAGACCTGCTGATGGCTCTCTCTCTCTCTCTGCCGCATGTCTCCTTCTTAGCCTGCTGGCAGTGGGAGGGGGCAACCGGCGCACAGCCAATGTGGTGGCCCATGGGTTCGCCAACCTGTTCATCCTGGACAAGAAGGACCTGGCCGAGATCCTTGTGCACTATCCCGAGTCCCAGAAGCTGCTGCGGAAGAAGGCCAAGTCAGTGAGAGGGGGATGATGAGCAACAGCTGTCTCCCACATAGCACAGATTAGGGTCACACTGGGGGGACCAGGAGTTGACCTCTGAGCTACAGAGGTCCCTGGGACAGGCATGGCTTTCCCATCACCAAGAAGGAGGATTGCACAGCAAAAAGCCACCCTATCCCCACTCTCAGCTCAGCAAGTGTGATGTACAGTGTGATTAGCCTTATCTCATTGTTAAACATGCGAAGCTCTGTTCGGGGGGGATAGAGACAACAATAAATTCAAGTGACTGCTACTTTGTTTCCATCCCTTAGGAAAATGCTGACCAAAGACAAGAAGCCCACGGACGAGAAGGCAGAGCAGAAGACAGGCAAGAAGGCTATCCCCCTGCAGCCAGAGACACCCAAGCTGTTCCAGGCCGCGCTGGAGGTCACGGAAAAGTCAGGGATCAAGGGCACTTTCTCCAAGCTGAAGCAGAAGTGGCACAAGTCCAGCTCTGTGGAGGTACCTCGCTCATAGCGATCATCATAGACCCAGTTTCCTCTGAGCTGTTGTTCTCCTCCCAGAACGTCAGGACAGATACCACCTGTCTGAAAGAGTGGGAGACTGGGTAGAACCTCGTATGATTACAGTGTGTAACGTTTTGTTAGACTTCCCTTTACACTATGTTATGCTTTAGCACAATTTCTCCTGTGTTGTATGACTGATTTTTCGGAAAGGTTGTTTCCTTTGCTTGGACCAGATTGTGACACTGCTTGGGCAATGAATGACAGATAAAACGGCAAACATTTGGATCATGGTCCATTGTTACAAGATAGAAGTTAAATCGCTGGCTGCTCTTCTTGCTGCCTCAGTAATTGCAAGTGGGCTAAGGGTTCATGAGGAAAGAGCCAGCTGTGCTGTAATTGCGCTGGCTGGCAAGTGACATTGCTCCCCACCCCAGCTCTGTGTGACCAGGCTGTCCTCTGCCCCTTCAGCCCTCCAGCTCTGTGCCCGTGCCTCCCGGGTCCCCAGTGCACCGCCGTTCCCCCATCCCACGCGAACTGCCAGAGGTGGAGGAAGAGGACATAGTGTCCCAGGCCTCGGACAGCTCCATGCTGATCCGGATGAGCCCCGGGCACCACGGCCGCGAGCAAGTCCTGACGGTGGAGGTGTCCCCGAAAGAGGAAGGAGAGCCCACGGGGGAGGCAGCACCCGCGGCAGAAGGGGATCCCAAGGGAGAGGGGGAGTCCAAGAAGTAGCTGCACCACCATGGGAGGAGACGTCAAGATCCTCCCTCTGGAGTCTCCTGGTCATCCAGCAGAGGAACACTTTTCCTGCTCCCCCTCGTCAGTGGAGTCAGTTCAGTCCTGTGAAAACACATTCTTGCGCACCTGCAGGTTAACAGCACTGACAGCTACAGTTACAGCCCTTCATCTATCGCTGCGGGGCCGCTGGCTTGCAATCATAATCAAGAGTGCAGGGGCTCTTATTGCAGTGCTCTCTTCAATGCTACAATTTCCACAGTGACCGATTGCGGCACCATTTCCCTTCACACTGTGAACATGCACTGTAGTTGTGCTTCTAGAAATGTAAATAAAAGCACAAAGATTCTTATGAGAGGAGAACCAAACCAGAGGCGGCCAATTCAAACCATCTAACTGTTTTTTTTTAATCAGTTAGTAGATAATGTAATTGAACTTAAAGAATCCAGGGGGACGAAGCAATAAGAAGGAAAATAAGAAACATTAAGTTACAGTATACTTCCGTCGCACTGTATATTGTACTCTTTCTTTCTAATCCCACAAGGCAATATAGGCAGAGGTAAGCAGGGTGCGTGAAGCTGTTGCTCATCTAGTCCTCCAGTCATTAGTGTATGCTTATGGTTAGTGGAGAATCCCGAAGTCTGGCATTCAGTATTTTGTCTCTCTTTTCTACTGATCCAGGAGCAAAAAACTGCCAAGCTAACCTTAGAATAGCCTTTTCGATGGCTTCTGATCTCGTCCAGAACAGGCGGCTCAGGGAGCTAAAGAGCTAGGCTCATTATCTTTACCAGTCACTGTTGTAATCTCAGGCTTTAGTATTGATCTGCTCAGGCTTTTTTGCACATGATGAAAAATCCTTGCATTTTAGAACTGTAACTAGGCTGCCAGAAGTAGCCCCATGTTTCCTTGTGTTTCCGGGCCCTTATAATATCAATTTGTCTTAATTAGACATTTACCCAGTGCTTTTAAACACTCGCTGGCATTATAACTTCTTGCGTAGCAAGGGACTGACATGCGTCCATTTTGTTTTTACACAGGTGGTGGGAAACACACAGACACTTCAGCTCATTCTTCTTGTGCAAATGGAAACATTTGTGTAATACAGTTAAGTTCCCTAAATAACACAGGATGCAATGAAATAAGCTCTCACACCTTGTAATATTAGTAGTTAATGCTAGCTGGTTCTCCTCTACCATTCTGGGTAACATGTTTAGGTCATAAAAGGAAGTGAAAGAAATAGGAAATGTTATGGCCTGGACCATTCCAATGGGGAGTGATCACATTACAGAGTTCTATCTAGAAATAAAGTTTAGATGAGCTGTTTGATTAAACAGCGCAATGCACTCAGTAAAGCTGTGTTCCGTTTACATTAACGATGAATGATCAGTGCCAGTTGCTGGTGAATTATACACACTATTCTCTGTGACACTGCCAGCGATGTGCTTTCTGTCAAAACAGGAGGGGTCTACATTTACAGTCTTGGCAGTTAGCACTGAATACATGTCTACTGGCAAAAACATAGAAACAGCTTTTTGCTAAATGATTACCTTATTTAGGTAAAAATGCATAAATCAAAAATCAATCAAGAAGCAAGTGAACATGCTAAAAGCCACTTGCCTTTGCAGAAGAAATGGCACTCACCCTTGACATGCATGTGTGCTTTATTTTGCCAGTGGCTTTAGAAAAGGAATGTGTTCAACCAGAAATATGTGCAGGAAGGAGGGAAGGAAGTCAGAAAAGATTTGCATTGTTTGGCAATACTGAGGAATGAAGGGAACAGACTTGAAACAACGGAACTGTGTGCCCAGTTGCTACAGTCCTGCCACCATCGTGTGTGATCAGCTCAGCCCTAGAATCACGTTGCTCTAGACTAGTCTTCAGCAGATGCTTTATAAAACCAAACCTTCCCAAGCCAGCTGTAAGGTACTCAATTATTTCTTGTGTGCAAAGCTGCCACACACCACTGTGAGGAACTGCTGTAGAAGTTAACTCCATGCTGCAGAACTATACTTGGAATGCACTTTTACAAGAAATGCAAGGAAAGTGAAGCCTTTTCTCTAAGTTACAAAGAGTAGCATCCAATATGTTGTTCACGTGAAAGAAACTCTAACACAGGGTTGGGATTTTAAAATGAACAGTAAATGTAAAATAAGTAGTTTACAATATACTGTAAAGCACTTTCTTGTATCATATAACAGATTGGAACGGAGATTGTTGTTCTGATCAGAGTACTGTGAACAAATGTTTCATTTATCTAAAAAACAACTTTATAGTTTTCATGAATAAGAAAGAAGTTTCATTTTTAGCTGAACCCTGTGAGCTCTTTTCCTGCTGAGCCTCAAGTCTCAGCCTTGCTTAGAAACAGCAATAGTAAATGAACTCAGAAGACACTTCTTTGAAGAACCTATAAACAAGAAATAATATGAAACAAATGTCCTCATTTTCACAGACTAATAAAAAAACAATGAATTTGTCATAAACTAGTGTAGAGACAGGGATGATTATGATGGGTCACACTGCGTCTTTTTAACTGGATGTTAGGTGTCCAATCCTGACTCTGGTGGGCTGCTCTGTTCTGTGGGTTTCTAGAGTTATTTAAAGTAGCAGCATATAAAGTTGTTAAATTAATCTAACAATAATGAGTTGATCTAAGTTGTTAAAATCTGAGCTGTAATGAATATCAGAAATGACACTAACTCTGACACCCTTGATCTAGAGGAAATAGTTTGATGTAATTTAAAATGTCATGAATTTTGTACATTTTGCAAGGAATTATCATTGTTCTTGTTGATAGTGAAACAAGTTGAAAACCAGTTTCTGGTAGTGCCAGTTAAGGTCTCTAGGCACCCCAGTAGAGTTTGTTTTTGTAATACAGTGAATGTGATTGTTCATCAAAAGCTTATTTTTATTATCTCAGTGTTGCTCACAGGATGCAGCTTGCTGTTCTGTTTACACCTTTGGACATGTCTTTTTTATATTCTACTGCTGGTAAATAAAAGATATCTGATTCATAAAGGTGTCAAATTGAGATTTTGTTTCAAGAACAATTACAACCACAGCCCAGTGACATCACTGACCCCTCACAGGTTCGATTCCAGCTGATGTACCTTCTGCGTGGAGTTTGTGTGCTCTCTCGAGTTTGCTTGAGTTGTGTATGGGCGCTCCAGTTTCCTTTCACCATCCAAAGGGACTCCAGCAATGTTAACTGGTGTCTCCAATTTGTGCCTGTTGTTGTGTGCCCCTTGATGGGTTGTAGTCTCTGAGCTGCTGAATTCATAAGGAATCGATGGCCTTCTAATAATGAATGAATTGTTAGCTTCAGTCATCTTCTAATGTGTAAAGAAACAACGTCACGGTGATTAAAGAAGTGAGGAAGGCAAGTGTTCTGCAAATTTCAGCAAATCAAGGGGCCTGGAATCCGAAATTGGTAACTTGAAAGACGAATATAAGGATTTGTTGCGGAGAAACAGTCTAGACGTACACAGAGGGGATAAGGGCTGATAAAAACCAAGGAATCAAATTATCTAGTGACTCGAATTCAATCATTCATTTCAGAAATGTGGAATTACCTTTCTCCTTGTAAAACAAAATAAATACGACAGCTCGGTGTTGTCTAGTGGTTTAGTGAACGCACTGTCGATGCTACTTTCTTAACATTTTCCTCGCGTGTGTTGTTAATATCGGTGTGGAAAAGCAGGACGAGGGAACGGTGACACGACGAGACTGCCTGAGAACCAGTTGAAGAAGAAATTTCCCTTTAAATCAAGGCTGTGAACTACAGTACGTCACTGCTTTTGTGTTCAGTCAGCTGGCCGGCTTCTTTTCCTGCAGGATCTCTTCAGTGGTTGGTTGACCAGACTTGCGGTTCATAGCGGTGGGGTGGAAGGAATGTTTTTTGAAAAGTCTGGGTAACTTTTTGAAACGAGTATACAGCTTGGAAAGCGGGCAGGGATAGATACCTCGCTACGGAACCCGAATTAACTAAAGCGCAGCAGAAGCAGAGAATTGGTTGGGGGAAAAAATAAGCATTGATTTAAACCACAACGGGAAGTTCGCCAGTTGGTCCGGCAGGTAAATGTGCGTTTTTTCTAAATTGTTTACGCTTTACTTGAAGCAAAATATCTGTCTGACTCAAAACGTTACTTTAATGACTGTTTTAAATCAGAACAGTGGATTAAGACACGTGAATCGTATCCACCAGGCATATACAATAATTACTGACAAGTTGCAGTACATTAAATAACTACTCCACAAGATGTTAGTGGATTTTTTTTTCCTATCCAAGTTCAGATGTATTCAGTTCATCGCAAAGGTCGGTGAAAAGCTGTGGGTGCGAGACACAGACTGAAGAGCCGATAAAATTCAGTATTTATGTGGTTTCAAATATGACGTTTTTCCTCTGTGAAGTCGCCCGATGGTGATCAATCTATATTCTTTTTTTTAAAAAAAAAAGATTGCGGCTGCAGCTGCCCCGTTAACAACCGGTAATTGTCATAATAACATCAGAGAGTAAATTCCTGTGCTGTTTTTCTTGAGATTCCCCCAGGCGTCGCCTGTCAATTTTTTCTTGTCAGTTACTGTTAGCGCTGTTTCACACAGGCGGTTTGAAAAGTGCTTTTTCAGTGCTCTTGCTGTTAAGACTCAGGAAGATTTTGCTCAGTGCGTCTGGTGATGTGTTATACTCAATCGCTAAACTCGAAGTGCATTATTCTTCCTTCCCTTGGATGCCTGCAGCTCTTTTCTCATGCGGATACTTTTTTAGCTGTGGTCTGGTTGGGGTGTGCCCGTTACACACATCATACAGAGGTCTGGTATAAATAGCGTCGCCAAATATACTGGTAATAACATTTTAACCAAGTTTGATGCTTAAATAATTTCACTCCGCATCGGTCCGGAGAAGGGGCTGCGGTTTTATTTCAGCGGGGGAAGTGTGATGTGGAATCTGGAGGGAGCCTGTATACGTGGTGTCCTGTCTGTGATGAAATACTTGTTTCTGAGCTGTTAAGTTTTAAACCGTGCACTGTGGGCTGTCCCTGGGCCCTAGAAGAAATGGATACAAGTTAATGGGTGAAACTGTCTACAACTTAGATCAGTGGGGTTTTTTTTATTGCGGCTAAGTGTTACGAAGCTGCTGTTTAAAACTGCCATACAGTACCTCTGTCAAGTGTGAGAAAATAAGCACAGGACGGGGAAGGAGGTCTTGCAGGTCTGAGTGTTTCACACCCTGAATGTTTTGACTGTGGGGTGGGTGCGGAGCATCGATTAGACATCGATGCGTCTATAGTTGTTTCAGGAGCTTCTGTGTTTCTCGGTGGTTCAGTGGAAGGGTAGACCTGTTTTGACAGTTGGTGTGCAGAGGATGTTTCTGCCCCTAGGGGCACAAATACCACCGCTGTTCATAATAAAGAGTCCTGTTGCCCTGGAAGCTGTTCAGTGGTTCCTTTTGAAAGTTTAACAAGAATCCTTGGCTTTTTTTTTTTTAGTAAGGCTGTGGAATATGTTTCTGACGTATAAAAAATGATCCCCGTCATTTTTTGAAGTGCCGATAAATCCCTCCTTGCGTCACGCACAGTTGCCACTCAGGTGAAAGGAGATCTTTAGGGTCATCCAGCTGTGCCTGAGAATGGGGGGGGTTCATCCCTCCTTCTGCCTACATGAAATTGAGAATTTCCAGATGTTGTGGAAGGTGCAGGGCGTAGCTGGAGTTTTAGTTTCCTTAAGGTAAGAAGCAAAGGATAAAACCGAGTTGTTGGTGAAAGAGAGAGATGTATGCAGGATAGACTTTTCCAGAAGAAGCTTAAACAAAGGTTCCAAATGAAAAACAGCTATCTGGTCCATTTACTGTAATTCATTTGGCTGGGAGCCACTACTTTATCTAAGGGTCCTATCCAGCTGTGTGAATAATTGTGTTGAAAGAAGTCAGCGTGTTAGCTTTGACAACGTGTAAGTAGGATGACAGCATCCTTCAATATGAAATCGATCACCTGCTGAGTTCACTCCTTTTGATTTTAACAAACAACATCCAGAAATTTTTTTCCCCATGGCGGACATGGTCAGACTGTGATTTCTGGACCTGAACCTGAGTGGCCAACCATTCAGGAGACATAGGTAACCCTCCCTCCCCCAAATAAGACATCTTCATCACACAGAAAGATCATTTTAATATTGTTTTAAAGCGTTTAAATAAGGATGTCCATGTTTTATAATTTAGGTAAGCTTTCATGATGAAAATTAGGCCACGTTTCACCCATGTCCTCAATTATCTCAAAACATTTTTTTTTTTTCATTTTGACATTCATTGCAGTTCAGACCCTTATTTACGTCTCAAGGTCATGTCATTATTGCTGGAGGTACAAGATACCCCTGACCTGACACCCTGCGCTCCAGCACCTCTTCATGTGACTGAGAGCTTCACTCTTTAACCTGCGCTGGTGTTTAAAGCTTGGAGGCCACTGCTCCAGGACTTGAACTTGAACTTTATTGCCATATATAACCAGTACATGTACCGGTACAGTGGAATTCTTACTGACAGAAAGTCTCTCGATTGTTAAAAAGTGTAAAAACACAAAGTGCAGACAGTGCATCAAGACAATATACAAACAAACAATAGACAATGTACAAGTAAACAGTTAGAATGTAAACAATGCAGACGTGTGAACAATGACTGCAGATGTGCAATAAATAAGAAATTATAATGAGGTAGATGGTGTAGGTGTGGTCAAATGTGTTCGCCAGTCGCACTGCTTGTGGGTAGAAGCTATTGAAGAATCTAGTGGTAAGTGTCCATATTCTGAGGCCTTGTTCACCTCTCCCGAGCTCAGGCTGTATGTTCTGTCTGTTGCTGGGGTTAGCAACGCAGACGTCGGCTCCTAAATCCACAATGATGTCATCACAGTGTTTTGGAACAGGAAAGGATCTCCCTTTGGGTGCAGGAAGTTGACCACTAGGTCATGTTACCTCAGATCAGCAGACACCATGTACCCCAGCCAGCAATCCCTGTCCTACACCACTGTGACGCAGGCGGTGTCCCCCCCAGCTGTGAGCCGTTTGTCACTTTTTGAATCGTTGAGTGGACAAGATGGTGGGAAATCATGAGCTTCATCATAAGAAATGATGAGAAAGGGGTTGAAAGCACAGCAGAAGTTGATCAAAGGAGTCTGTGGACTGCCCCATGACTTGAGAAACACAATCTCAGTGAGCTGTTGTCTGAGATGTCTATCAACTGCACTTGAAATCTGTAGAGTTAATAAAGTCGCTCGCTGTGGAAGCCATTAGTGCAAGTGATGTTGTAGCCTTCAGTGTCTCATGGCTCTCACCAAAGCTTAGCACTGGGAGATATTTAACAAGGACCAGGCGTGTCAGATCAGCTTAAATGGCAGGAATCGAGGTGACAATCTAAGTGTGGAGTGAGGGCAGGTGCACAGTGTGACGTAGTCATGTTCTGGCAGTTTGGAGGTGATAGTTTTCAAAATATGTTTTCAGCATTGTAGTCTGGGCTAATAAGCAAATGTCAAAACTGAAAAAAAAAGTTGAGTGTCCTCATTCTCGTCTGCAAAAAAATGACCTGAACAATACATGCACTATTCAGGCAATATATAGAGAATTCATGTGGAAGATTGACCTGACACCCTGTATTCAAATGTCTGCTGTCTCCATCAATGGGCACAGCACAGAGGCTTCATGAGATGTAAATAAGGGTCTAAACCATGATGTGTGTAAAAATAAGTTAATTTATTTTGAGACCTAATTATTTCCCCAAATGGCCAAGAATGTATGGAAATACTGGTTAAACTCAAAATGAGTGACATCAAAAACAGCCGTTTTTTCATGATTTCTTATGAATCATTAGTGAATGAAGTGCCTCCCGTTCAGCACAGAAATGCAAGGAAAGTGTCCTTTGTGGTTCTTTCTCGATCTGTTACTCAAAGGACAGCAAAGTCATTCCTTATTTTCTTAAAGCGGTGGAAGAGCTCGTTCCCGCCCGCGCTCCGCCCCATGCTGTCAGAGTCGGTGCTTGTGAATGGGAGGGTGAGGAAGAAAGCAAAGCGACCTGTTTGATCCCGGCTATTGACTTGCTGAACCATGTGACTGCGAGGCGTTCGGACTCGAGCTCTCCACGTGATCTCCGCTGCTTATTCGGCAGTCCTGCAGTGCGAGGGTCGTGTTCCTCCCACTCTCTAGCCGGAGGAAGTATTTAAGAAAAGAAGAGCCACACAAACGGCCTTTTCCTGCGATTTGCCGCAACGTGCTGCGGAGAACGGGAAATAAGGCACGTCTTAACGTCAAGACACAATTTCAGTTTTATGATGCTTCCTTTGGATGGTTTTTGAAGCATCTGGCATTCAGCTTGTTTGCATTTACAAAGTTTAAGTATCAGCTCTATGGCTGTGCAGTTCGTTGCTCATTTCCCTGAAGTGCCCTTTACACTAGAGTTAATAACAGTCCATTATTTGTACTCAACGAATGTGTTTTTGCGATTACCTTCATTATAGTAGTCTGACTGATACGGTTGTTTTTGTAAGCAGCAGTCTGTGCTGTGCTGTGCTGTGCTCATTATGTTTGCAGATGCAGGGAAGGTTAAGCCAGTCTGCATAGTTGGTTTTTATGCATCATTTTCTCCAGCCATTAATCAAGGATATTTCATGGTGGCGTCAGGCAAGGTTTTTTTTGCAGGATGTTATGGCTACAGAAAACCCCTCAGAGTCCAAATCACCAATAGTTCAGTATGACCTTCTAAATTGCTATAAACCGCGTCGCTCTTTGAAAAGTCTTGGATAATTGAGGCCGGTGGTGAGGTCCGTTGACTAAAAATAGAACGTTATTGAGGTCGCGTCGCACTCGGAGATAACCAGCAGGTGGCGATGTTGCTACTATTCTGACTTCCTAGCAACCCTGTAAATACAATACAACATTACATTCCTCAGACGGCTTGCTCCAACTGCATTTGTTGCTACGATATAATATTAATAAAAAAAACAAACTTTGAAACAAAGTAAAATCCATTTTTGTGAATGATCTGCTGCTCTTGTATGCACAACAGCCTGTTGTACAGCTGCAATTCACAAAGCGAGCGGATCATACTTAAATTGGGCGGCATACAGTACATTATAAAACAAAAGAGGCTTTGAAATATAACAGTTACTGCCGTTAGTGGCATTTTGTAGTTCATTTGAGCCTGTTTTCCATTTCTGCTTTGCTGCATCAAAGCTTTGCTGTATCACTTATCAAAAAAAAATAAGTGTAATGAAAACAACACGAATTGCCTATTTGGTACATTAAGTCATAGCTGTGGGTTTCCTGTGAAGTGTTGTAATTAGCTAAGCTACGGCTTTATGTCTGCAATTACGTAATATTGTCTGTGTGAGTGTGTGTGACATATGCATCATTTTCCCTAGTTCTCCGTTTCTATAATAGAAAGCTGTTAATTAAAAAGCTCCCCTGAAGGGAAGAGCAGAGGCATGCTTGAGGATTTAAAGCAGTAGTTTACACTGTCTTCTGCTCTCAATTAGTGTGTGGCCGTATCTTACAAGATCAGACCTGCTCTTACAGAATCTTCCCTCATGAAGTTGGGAGCCCTGGAGAAGTGCAGTCGGGTCTGCAGTGGTAGTAAGCGGTTGAGTCTCCCGCACCCCTTTAAGACAAACCGTGGTCTTCCCTCCTGGGCCTGTGCCACATGCGAGTCAGCGCCTGTGTGCCTGTGCGCCCAGCGATGAGCCCTGGTCTCCAGTGTTCACAAGCCCCTGTGATTTGGGCTTCCAGTCCGCCCTGTGATGTGGTCTGTGCTGTAGCACTTTAAATCCGCCGTTGAGTGGAGATGTAATTACGGCCTGTGATTTGTTTATTTTTCTTCTTTTTCTTCCTTCAATTAAATGCCAAAATGTGCCCAGAATAGCTCTTCTGTGGAAGAGAAGGGTGTGTGTGAGGCATGGGGAGGGTTTGGGAAGAGATTAAGAAAGCAGTGATTTCAAAATCTGCTCCTCTTGCTGGTATGTAAATATAAAGAAGTGGCTCAGGTTGCCAGGGAGACACGCTTCCACATGGAAATCTTGTTAGATTCACAAACCTTTGCTTATTTTCTCATAGCAAGCTTTTCTGCAGTTGAATAGAGGTAGTTTAGCACATCGACAGAGAATTGGAACCTTTACCCGCTGGGAAGGTTACACTGGGAAGGTCATGCACTTCTGCTGCCTGAATGTAAGAGAGTCTACTTTATTGAGTCACATTTGTATCTGTGGCATTTAGTTCAGCCTCTTGTGTGCTTTCAAAGTGCAGTTACCAGGCGTTACAGCAGGGGGCAGCTTTTAGAGAAAGCTACAAAAATCCTCTTGCAGCTTGTAAGATTGTTACAGAGTCCATTGTGTAGCAGGTAAGCTGCTTAGCTACAGTGCTTTCATCTTCTTAGTACATCCCGTCCAGGATGTGTCTGAACTCGTTACGGAGGATTTATGTGGGTAGTGGAAAATCGATTTTACTGCATGGATTTTGATTGATTTGAACATGGGCAGCTGATGGTTCAGACTTGAAAATCCACTTGGAAATCTTGTTTGGTTCACAAACCTTTGTTTATCTTCTCAGACCTTTTTATATTAATATACATTTTACATTTCCTTGGTCCTCAAATCTACCCTGCTGTACTCTAAACTGCAGGATAGTATGTTAAAAAGTTAGCTGGGTCATGAGCAAAGATAGTTATCAATAGCGTTCTGGTCTGAAAATGTAAGGCCATTTGCACCCTCTATCCATTTCTGTGGCTGAGACATAACCATTAGTACCCTAGACATGTTACAAAATTAAAGAAAAAGTCAAATGTTCTGTTGTTGACTAACTTTTAGTTAGACATTTTCAGTTGATGTAATTCCATTTTACAGTTGAACGGGAGATATAACTGTTTTTATGCAAATCCTGGAAAGACCCATAAATGTCTAAACTGTAACAAAATATTTTTGTGCTAAATTAACAGCCACTACAGTTCTCAAAGCACAAGAGTGTAAGTTTCCCATGCAGGGTCACACACACAATGTCTGCTCACACAATGAATGAGGTCATTCTCCAGGCGGCAACCAATCAGAAGCCTGATCCCTGTCTTCAATGTCTGAATTTGAGACAAGGGAAGCCACAGCAGATTTTTTTGCAAATGCAAATAAATGTGACATCAGTGTCCACTGCCCCATGCCTGCGCTTATCCCTGCAGCAGATGGACAAAGGACTTAGAGGGAAGGACTGTTGGGGATTCGAATGCAGAGTGAGATGATATTTGCCTTGGTGACACCCTCGGGCAGCAGATAGAGAATGAACTGAGGCTTTCTGATGAGCAAGTGAGCAAAGAAACGGCTCTCTGTCGTCACAACATTTTCAAGTATTTTGTGAGGGAGGACAAGTGGACAAACCGGTCGGAGAAACATTTCCCGGGCCGGTTTAGAAAAGGCAACAGGGTGCAAAACAAAAAAACTTATCAGCTGAATAACATACCGAGAAAAAACAACAGGGAGGTACAAAAGCGTGGGGAATATTTTTTTTCAAGTTTTCAAAGAGCACATTTTTTCTTGACGTTTATCTTGCCTTTTTTCATGAGCCATCGCAGCTGGAAATAACACGACTTCAGGTGTGTTATTTCTGCCTCAGACATCAGTGATTATGGTGATACCAGCAGCAGGTTCAATCTGAGAAACATTTTTTTCTTCTGGGTGTGTGTTGCCGTGCACACATCTTATCAGTGGAATACCTTCTTTATGATTGTGTTTACGTGTTGAATCGAAAGCCTGGAGTTACGAGTGCCCTGACCTTAACAAGCTGAAGCGATATGGGCTTAGGAGTGGCGCCCAGGGAGTCGGGACTCTGGACAGACTCATGGCTTTTCTCCAGGGCTGGATCGATGCTGGCAGCTGTTGAACACTGGATCAGTGGAAACACAGGGCCATTAGGAGACAGGATTGGAGCTCCTGTTTGAATCTGGAGTGTTTTGCTGAATATATCATTTCTTGCAATTTGCTTAATGCTTTACACCTAGGAAGGGTCCCAATTCTTTCACCATAAAAATACTTCTCCTTCTTGGGAATGCAAGCTGTCGCCATCCTGTATCGGTGGCCCTACAACACACTTGGGTAACAGGAACACGGGGAGCCGTTCTGGACCTTCTTGGTTTCCTGCTGGTGCTGAATCTCAGAGCTGTGAGTGAATCCACAGGGACTTGTTGGGTAACTTGCGCTGGCTGTGCAGCCAGATCCTTATTGTATTTGGTGGATCCATGGTGAAGAAATGAGACCAAGAAGTCTGTGATGCTAAAAATCAACATGGTGGTGCTTAAGAAAATCTGTCTTCTGCTTCCATGACTTCTTGAAACGTGAACATCGTTCACTGGGCTAAACACCTCCGAACTGGTTGACTGGACAGACTTTTGCGAGGAAAGTCATTGGTACCTGCATGTTCTTTATTGGGACCACGCTCAGAAGACTTCAGATTCAATCTCTGGACTTCACTGTAAGCAAATTCCCAAATGAAGAACTGTATCTTGGCAAACACAGTATCGCCCATGGGTGTGATATGGGTTCATTTGTTGAAAACACTTTCATTAGATTACTTCCTGCTAATTTGTTTATACTGCTGGGGTTGGAGAGCTTACTGATTAGCCTTTGAGTAAAACATGCAAATCAGGAGGAGGGTATAATTTTCCATAGTTCAGAGACCGAAGATCACAGATATATCGGAGACGATGACTGTTGATCTCAAAATCTGGAAGAAACAGTTTGCTTGAAGACACTCTTAAATTATTGTGAGCCTTTGAAAAAGAAAAAAGCATTTGGATTGATCAGCCTGGAAGAATTTCTGAAGCTGTGAACTCCTCTCATGTAAGATACTGGGTATAGGGAGCAAAACTCTGGACTGAGCTCCAGACCAGTTCTGGGTTTTCTTGGCTGCTGCGTTGGGACCTGCACCCTTTCACTGCAGACACCGTCCTGACAACAGCCTTGCCTTTCGGATTTGGTGACCTAAGAGCTTTCTGCCTGCTTCCCTCCCCAGTAGTATCCAGTAACTGTGATATCGGAGCAGGCAATCTGCCCTGTCTCTTTTTAGGGGTGCAATGTATGTCCTGTGCACTCTGGTGGTGCTGTCTTTGCACAGCCTGTTCAAGGGGCGAAAAAGAGGCTCAGAAGTGGAGAAAGTGAAGCATTCCGACAGGGAGAGAAACTCGCCCAGAGACTGCTGCACGGACAACCACAGCCCAGGATATGAAGCCGAGAGCCTGTGCACCAAGAGTAACAGAACCACTTTGAGCAACATGCCTGGCTGCTGCTACAGTACCTGGGCACAGGTGAGAATCCATCTTGCTTACAGCACAGAATAACCTGGCTACTGTGCAGACTGTACAATATTCATTTTCCTTTCTCTGTCTTTTGGGGGGTATTGGTTACCTCTTCCATCTCTCTGTTTTTGTGCATTTCCCTTTATTGGTCAAACATGTTTTATAGCGTCACAAATTACTTGTAGATTGTTTTTGTATACTCATTTGTTTCAGCGTCTAAGTAAATAAACTACTCGACACGGAAATTCCTATTTATGGAGAAAGAAATGAAAGGTGCACAGTGCTCCATCTGTTTCATGCAGGATTCATTTAAGGGATTATTTGCAAGCGAAGTCATTTTTTAATTAAATGTTGTTGTTGTTTTGTTTCTGGGCAGGTACTGTAGAATGGGCTAAAAAACAAAACCCTTGTTTTTTAAAAAGTACAGGAGGCCTGTTTATTCTACCCTTGAAGGAAAATTAACTTAATGAGTGTAAAATCTGAATTGCAGACAGTAACTTCACACCCTGACATATCTGGGTGTAGTGTCCAGGAGCAAGCAAGAATCTCCGTGCATAATTCTTAAACGTTAGTGCTGGTGCTGTCAGAGTGGGAGTCTGCAGCTCTACTGTTTGCAATCATCTGCAAGTGCATGAGCTTTTTTTGCCTTTGAGGATTTGTTTAGGGTTTGTTTCAGCCTTTGCCAGCTAAATTGAGCTCGAATCCTTTTCAGATGCTGATATGCAAATACAGCTTGTAAATTCACCAAGGGAAAGTTGGGGGTTGACTGTGGGCTAAGGGGCAGTCTCGCAATAGGCAAAATTCTCAAATACTCAAAATGAGGTTGTTGCAGGTTCAAGTTCCAAGTGTAACTCTGTGCCTTTGTACTGTTGAGCATAGCACTACAGAAAGTATCGTCCGAACAGATCAATACTTTTTCTGTTGCTGTTGTTATTCCCCCTTGCGACAGACATCCTGTCCAGGGTGCACCCCGTCTTGTGCCCCTGCTTGCTGGGATGGGCTCCAGCTCCCTCACGACCCTGTATTGGTTATGTAATACGTAGATGGGCAGTTGTTGTTGTTCCCTAAGTGATATCCAAGTACAGAACAATGCATTTTAGGATATTGTGGTGTTTGTGCATTGTGCACCACTGAGTTTGCCGAGTTTGTGTGTTTTTCTGGATTTCTGGGTGTGATGCTGTCTGACTTAGGACAGTCACATTGTATTTTCCTAATGGCTTTCGGACAGGGAGCATGATTGAGAAGCCCAAGCCTTTCAGTGCCATGTTACACTGCCTTCATGATAATGCTCCAGAATTTAAAAGGCAGATTACCACTGTGGCTCAATAATTCATGTGGGGTTTGGTTTTGTTTCCGTTACACCTGAACGACAGGAACTGGCCCTATTGAAGCACGCCTGTCTTGCTCCTTCCTGCAACTAGCCTGTGTTGAGATTCTGTTCCGTCCATCAGCCCAGTGACGCTCCATCTGACATCAGTCAGAATACATGAGGATGTCAGTTGTTAAGAGCAGGATTGCTCCTTGCTGGGGAGCATCCTCTTCTAACACCTGGCCCATGAAGTCAGAATATACCTAATTCCATTGCTGCATTCCACTGGTCACCCTGCGCCTGCACCGGCATGAGCTTTTCCTTCATTGGGACACTCCTTGGAATAAAAAGTCTCCGGTCTTGCTGATCTTAACAAAAACTTATGCAGTGAGAAATAATTTGCATTATCTTCTCTTATGGAAAGAGGAGGGGGACTATTAAACAGAACTCTGTCTGGTGTGACCCCAACATGTACAGGCTGCTTCTGGTAGATGTAGGTTTTTGTTAGGATTGTGAATTTTCATGCCTGGAATTTAACAAGCGACTCCCAGAGGTGTCACAAATAGCAGGCAATAATAGAGGATTAGAGACCTGAGGTCTGATAATGTATTATACAGCAGGTCTCTTGCTTACAGCAGGAGGAGTCCCTTGGGACTGAACTAATGGCAGTAACAGGAACCTCCCTCATGGCAGTTTTTTGTGGAGCTGAGCAAAGTGTGTGTCTATTCGGCAGCAGCTCAGGACTTAGAGGCGCAGTTACCTCCTTTACTAAATATTTCAGGTTCTGGGAGGAGGGGAGAGGAGAAGCCGGGCTTCATTTGCCAATTAAATATTAATTTTGAGCACTGAGGTGTAGTTGCCAGTGGAGGGGTGGGGAGTGGGATTTTGTTGCTGAGGAGTGATGGGATACTGGGTTAGATTTCCTTGTTACTAAGTAACAGGAGGAAAGCAGAGCACCGAGAGGCTAGTGAGAAGAGCCCGGCTGGTTTATCGGAGTGGTGCTTTATGTAGCTGTGTGCTCCGTGCTGCACAAGGGGCTGGCAGGAGATGTTGGCGTGATGGGGAGCTTGGCACCGCGGCCCTGGAGGTAGGTAACCATGCTGAGTGCCTGGTCTGTGCGCCGCAATAGGAAAGAGGAGGGAGAGAGGGCTGGATGGTTCCCTTTCATTCCTTTGTATAGTGTACACCACCAGTGTGGCTGCTGCTTTTGTGTTTCATGCAAATTGAGACTGTATGGTCTTCAGTGTGTCATTGTGGCCAGTGCTATTTATGTGTAGTACTGTATAGTGCTATACATTTCTGTCAATTATGTTGCAGTTTGTGTCCTGACATGTAGGGGAAACACAGAGAGGAGCTGTCAGCTGAGGATGGTTTGCTTTATCCTTTCTGCATTCTTTCCCCTTCTTACTTGAAATACGTTCGTAAAACTGCATGGTATTGCTTCTCCTATCTTTTATATGCAGATGTTTTAATAAGAAGAGTTTTCTGATTCTTTTTACTGGCATAAAACTAATGCTGCTTTTGTTTTTTTAATTTTGTCATTTTTGTTTTGGAAGATGTTTTTTTTATTAGAAATCAATTATTCTCAATGCATCTGACACTGAATAGAGTGTTGTTTTGTTACTATGTTTTGTTCCTATAACAAATGGGGAAGGAAAGGGTTATTGTACAGTGTATGAGCACTAAAATTCAAGATCATCCACACAATCTGAAAGATGTTATAAACCCAGCATTGCTCGGGTCATATTGTTCTGTGTGGTGTCCTTCTGCAGATGTTTACTAATACATTTCTATGGGTCTGATTTTATTTTTTTCATTTTTTCCCCCTGTATCATGTACAAAAGCTGACTTTCAGTGGGTTTTAGTGCAAACTAGATTTGACACGGATGTCAAAGAATTTAACACCAGAGGGATGTGAGGGATGTATTTAGCCTGACTGAATATTTCATGTTTTCATTTGCAATGCAAAGCACTTCCTTTGAATCTTTAAATCTGTGAAGCGTGGCTTCTGATCTTCAACTTTCCAGTAGAAAAAAAAAATTGCAAAAGTTCCGACCCAGTAATTGTTTACCCATTACACTGAGGAGCTTCCACATCGTTGAAACCCAGCAGGGTCTGGATATCGAGGAACAGGATCAGGAGCCCCAAGCCCAGTGCACACATTATAATGTAGTGGAAACACTTCTGTGTCTCACTGTTACACATACAGTTCTGTGGGACTTACAGGCAAGAGTATCTGCCAGATGGAGACACTGTGGGTGTTAATTAAAAGCCCCAGTTTGTCTGTAATGGAAAGACACATGAGAATGTAATGCAGAGCATTGTCCTCCTGAAGCAGTGAAATATTTTCTAAATATGTGAGAGAACCTGCAGTGAGAAATGAGCTAGAAAAGTTACATGGATGCTTTTTATATTAATTACCCTGCTGGAGATTGTAAAAAACTTTGAGAGTTGGATGCTGGCGCCAGTGGACAGGGGAACTGATTTCCCCCAGTAAGTTATTTCTCTAGCTAAAAGGTGTGCAGAACAGGAGGGATGTCTCATGAATGAAATGCAGTTTGGGTTCTTCTGGAATCGCCATGGAAACTCCGAGGTGTGTCCTTTGTAATCATGGCTGTGATGACCCAGGTGTGATTCACTATTTGGGACAGGAGGCCCGGATGGTCAGGATGACTGATAGCAGGGTGTGGTGTGATCCAGCCTCTAGCAGCAGTGCTGGAGTGCTCTGAACCACATTCTTCAGACGGTGACTGTGCTCCCAGATACTGCGTCTGCCTTCATGCCTTGAATGGTACAGGAATTGCGACTGTCTGGGAGCAATAGGAGCTGGCTGATCGTTATCAAATAGACAATGACTTGAAACAAAAAGAGGAAGTCGTGGCTTTGCTAACGTTCTTTCAGAAACTGAAGGGAGTGCCTGAGGGAGTGAAGGACCTAAAAGATATTTGAGAGATTCCAAAGTTCAGGGCAGCTCAATGTGACAGCATCGAGCTCCTGTTATGTAACTCTTTGAGTCATTTTGCATGTCATAATATGACACCTGAACGTAAGATCCCTCTTTCTGAATTTGCTGGAATAAGCCTGCTGTGGCACAAAGTTGCCACACAAAGGAGTTGTGGCACAAAGGGGAATAAGATACATTTATAAATAATTCCAAAGGCAATGCTTTTTGTAGATTTTCATGTCACTCTGGATTAACACTTGTATTTAACCAGGAACTTGATTTGTGTCATCTCAGCCCTGAGTATGATTTGTGCTCCTCAGGTAAGCCTTTGTGGAAAGGGAATCTCGCTCGTGACCAAGGGAGAGAGACCCCCAGGGACGGACAGGGCAGTCTTATTGAAGCAGACCTGATTCAGCTGTGGGGGTGTGGTGGCGGGTGTTGGGTGGCACATACAGGGAGCCTGTGGTTTCCGAGAGCAGGACGTCAGGGTGCTCATGGGAGGAACTGGGCAGCCCGTGGGGTCCGCTGTGAAAGAAGCTGTATTTGGTTACTCATGTCAAGGTGAAGGCTGGTGTTGTGTCTCCTCTTTATAAAGGTATAAAACTTTTAAAGCTCACAACCGAGGGACACGAAGCAGCTCCTGCTGGGAGTGCGGGGCTCAGGAGTAAAGTGTGTTACTATCAGTATTATGAAAGTCATTTTTTTTAATTACCAAGGCGCTTGGTAATCTTAATCTTATTCTTAATGTCTTGAACACATGCTAGTGCCTTTGTACATTACTCAACTGAAGCTCATTACACATGTGCCAGTGCTTCTGAAACAAGTACAGGAGGTAATTTACAGGGGAACAGCTTGTCAGAGGGGGAGAAGTGGCTCTCATTGTAGTGTGTGAATGTCTATCACCACAGCTCTGCCAGAACCAGGAATAAATATATAGAGCAAACCTGCAGCCCAGACCGCACTCAGAATGAATGCCAGGGAGCTCGGGAGAGCGGTTAGCTGGGAGATAACTGAACTGGGCTAATGAGATGCGCACACACACTGGGGAAAGGAAACTAAAAGGCGTTTTTTTTTTCTGTAGTTACTAATGTAGTCGACTCTGGTGAGACTTTGTTAGGAATAACAGAATGCTTAAAGAGAGCGGGTAGGGGTTTTATTTCAGACTTTTCTGTCAGACTGGTCGGTTTTTATCAGGAGATGCTGTTTTCAACAGAGAGCTTGTTTATTACCAAAGTATGAGAACCATCCGTGATGTTATAATCCTTTATTTTTAATATTTGTTTTTAATGGAGGTCGTAAGAGAGACAAAAATCCATAGTTTTCTCTTCAATTGTATTTTTTTTTTTGTTGCTGTCTCAGTTCTAAGTGCTGCTAAGAAACCTTAGGCTGTAAGTCAGGTTAAACCTGATGGTCCTCCCGAGCTGCAGTGAAACAGCCCCCAGTGAAAAAACAGCTCTGCGCTTTTCATGTATTTTAATACTAAATACCATTGTGCATGATTAACTATGATTGTGTGATTTGTATTTTTTGGTTTTGTTCTCCTCGGTAAAACAAACCTAAAAAGGCTCTCCTTTTCCTGTGTGTAGATGTTTGTATGGTATCGTTTCATCTTAGCTATGTTGAAAGTCTCTGCTTCTCCTTTGCATGAGGGACTAGAGACAGTGTTCCGCAATAAACTGGAGACCCAGGGCCAACAGGGAGCTCACATGAATCAGGTCCTAAGCACTCAGTAAACACTGAGATTGCAGCCCTGCAGTTGCTAAAACAACGAATGGCTTTAATTATTACTGGACAGTAATTCAAGGAAGTAACTGTGAAGAATAAGCAGATATTTTTTTTTGTTTAAGTTTTTTTCTTACCTTTTAAATACCATCCCACTGTTTGTCATAGAATTCATTTTGTGATGAAAGGTGAGAAAAAATCCTAAGAATCAGTAGCCAACCCCCCCCCCCCCCATATCCATCCATGTTGAATAAGCACAAGGCCATCTGTTGGCGCTTAAGGGATAATCTATACCTGAGCTCTTCAAAAGGACATCTCTGTGTCAGTGGGAGGGGCTGGCTGGGCAAGGTGAGGGCATCATGTGCGTGACCTGTCAGTGGGCACATGCCAGGGCTGCTTCTAGTGCGCCAAAGTCTGCCATGCAGAGCTAGCATGCTGGGGTGGCTGGGATCTCTAGTAAACAGAGGCTGGCTTGACCTGAATGCCAACAGACCTGGGACTGTGAAGATGGCACACTTAGACTGGAGCCATCGACTCAAGGTAGGCAAGGGGCTTTCTGCGTCTGCCATTCTCAAATTAGTTCTGCACGGTGAGCTCCAGGACTGCACTCTCGAGCAGGGGACTGATCTCCCCATTCCAGCAAAGGACAGCAGTCCGAGTGGGCTGGAGCAGTACCTCTGGTTACATCGATTTGACATGTTCAGGATTTGTGAGCTGGCTATTCTACATCTCTGCTTGCACTGTTTACTCTCTTTTGCTAGGAAAAAAAAAGTTGGCAGCTGTTGTGTGTGTGTACGTGTGGGGTAACACGTTTCCTGTCGGCATAAAATAAGATCATATGCTGATACACCTTTCTTCTAATCAGAGGGCCATGTGACTGTGCTCAGTGCTCACTTTCGGTCCCTAGTTAGTATACAACAGCCCTGCTTTTACTTCATCAAATCAGCAGTCATTGAACTCTCTAACAACCCCATGACTTAAATATGCAGACTACTAAAACCTGGGTACGCCTTGGGTATATAAACAATACACTGCTCTGATTACAGTGCAGTATTTTTCCAGGATACATTAACTTTGATTAAAACAGTGACTCAAAATTGTCCAAATGCCTTGTACCAGACTGTTTTTATTTCAGATGAATTTTTGTGCTCTGGGGAAAATCGAGTTCCCCTTTAAATTTGTTGTGCCTGTCTTCTCTCTCCTGTCTGTGTTCTGGTAGTACATGCGACAGGGGTAACCCGGCTCAGGACTGACTGGTGTGTAACACTGGCTGATCCCAGGCGGTTGTATTTATCGTGAGCTTCCCTCAGTGTAAAGCTGTGAAAGACTGAAGACTGCTTTTCAGGAGTTTTTATCTTCTACACTGTATGCGTGAGGAAATTGCAGAGGAAGACCCTTGTAAGGGCTTTTGTGTTGTTGGTTTTCCATGTGGAAGGCAGTTTGTCAAGAGGTCATCGCCAATCCGCTGTGCTTTTTCTGACTCTCGCTGTGAGGGCTGCAGCCTCTCCTGTGCTCTGCGGTTCTGTTGCATTATTTGGCTGGTCAGAGTCCTTCAGGGAATCTGTTACACTATAACTAACCCCTGTCCGCCTGCTAATCTGCTTCAGATGACCCTGAGCCCCTTGGCAGGCCCAGGCCGTGTGGTTTATGTAGGCTAGGATGCGGAGGAGGGGTTCTGCTTCACGTCAACCACCGTTGACCATGTATTTTTATCGGCAACGCTTCACTCACGTTGGGAATTACTGACAGACTCTCCTTTGGGGAGAAGAACTTCCCTGCTTCGTTTTAGTGTCTGTCCCTCCTCCTCTCGGGATTGTGGTGTAGGAATGTGATCGACACATGTCCCACCGTCTCCCTCTCTGTGTACTGTAGTCTTGAGCGGAGCCGCTGGTAGGTGAAAGCATTCAAGCATCTGGCTCCCCCTTGTGGCTGATATATGTTAGTGTAAATAACGTTTTTCACTTACCGACTGCAAATGTCAATGCATGTACAGTAGTACGCCCAACCGTGTGTGTTGTCATATATCATTTAGAGTGAGAATTTCCAAGTCATAACATAAATTGAGGTTGTTTGTTAAATTAATTTTAAAGTAGTTCAATTATGGGCAGACATAGTCTTGTTGGGGAACATAGATTAACCTCTGCAAAACAACATTGAAGTGGTTTAGGAAAGAACAGTACCAAATGGTCAACCTCGCGCTTTTGGATTTATTTAAGCAAGTTTGGATTTATTTAAATAAGAGGTGCATACGGTACGTGACAAACATTCAGTTTTGTCTCGAGTAGTATTTGTTCCAAGCATGCAGCCATAGTGGTAAAGTAAGGAAGGCCGTTTTGGAATAAATGTCTGACCTAAGGTGTGTGTGACATTCCAGCTCTAACGCCCTGCTGGTATCTGTCCCCTGTCAGCCGGCCCACTGGCCAAGCGCTGCCCTCAGCCCCACGGTCATGTTCAGCACACGCAAGACCTGGGACCTCGGCCACGCCCACACCCTGCAGGAGCTCTGGAAGAAAGACCTCTCATTGGACGGTGAGTGTCACGTGACGCAGGTAAAAACTAGCGTGGCAGCATTTTTCAGATTACTCTGTGATTTCCTACAGGTAGGAAAGGTGCTCTTTGAACTGAATGTGATACCTCAACAGCATGCCGAAGAGGTAAAGCCTATTTTTGCACTTTTTGTCTCCGAAGTATAAATTCCTTAATTGCCAAGACAATGTTTTTTTTTAAATCTTTTAAAGATTTACTTATATTCTCTAATGTGGGTTTATGGACAGTTTTGCTTCTGATGAAAAAGCTGATTGTTTCTGTGCAGAGCTGAAAGTGCTCTCAGGAGTTGCTCGGCACTGTAATCGGATTCAGTTAATCTCAAAGCACCATCAAGAGCTGTTGTTAGGTTCAGAATTAATTTCAGCACTCATCTGAAACTGCCTGTTTTTCTGGTTTTGAATGCTGTCTTGGACTTGTCTTGCAATTGTACATCTCCTACAGTAAAGACATTATTCTGTGTGACTGACACTAGGTGTCCGTTTTCATGGATGTTTTTGAATGAGTTCTTAAATCCCAGGGAGATAGCTCTTTCAACAGATTCACAGTAGAAATCTATTCGTCATTCCCAGGAATAAGTGAATTTAAGATGTTGCTTTCCCTGATTTTTCTGTAATTTTATTCTTTATTTATAGGCTAGGTAAACTGAGAGAATTAGCTTTCACGTGTCTTAAGCGATTATCTCCTGCATCTCTCCAGTCTTTCCTTCTCCATTTGCAAAAGCACTATTCTTTGGATTTCAATCGACCCAAAAAGAATTCCGGGGTTTTTTTTTTGCATAAAGATATTGGACATTTCGTGCCATGAAGTATTAAACCACTTAAAAAGGAGTGAGGCTGGTTCTAGAGAATCAGTACTAGAACCTCTCTGTTGCTGGCGCTGTAGATAAGGACAGGTTAAGCTAACAACCCCACTCTTAAATCTCACCTGCAGGTTTGTTCGGTTAACCATTAATACGAAGGAAGAGGATTAGAGAGCAAAGCTGTACTTTGGGCTGTTTTGCCTTGTCACTTCATACATGGGGGTCTTATGTATCATCTTTGAGATGTTCCAAATTAATGTGAAGATTAAAAAAAATCCCTGCCATTTTAGAGTTGAATGCATTTGATTTGACAAAACGGAATCCTGTATTTTACCTGTTCTTCAATAACAGTGACCTTTTTATAATGCCTCACAGCTGTGCCTGAATGACTGGGGAGCCCCCTTGTCTTTGCACCCACCTGCCTGAGCTTCTCTGTGCTGCGTTTGTCCCGCAGAAAGTGCTGTGGATTTCCTGATGAGTGACGGAGAGGAGGGCAGTGCCTTCATCCCTCTGCAGTCCTCTGTGTTCCCGTGTCAGAGCATGACCTCTGACCAGCCTGAGCCCAGTGCCCCCCACAACCAGCAGCTCCTCGTACAGGTCAGGCTGGCACCCTCCTGCAATACCACAGCCGCCGACTGCAAGGTCAGGGGTCAGGGGTCAGGGAACTCTGTGAAATCGCTCCGCGGCTAAGCAGTTGAGCAGGGGTGTCTAATCCTGCGCCTGCAGGGCCGGTGAGTCTGCAGCAGCACCTGAAGAACTGGAACCTGTTGTTAAAGTGATTGATGAAACCAATAAAGAGCTTCTTTAAGAGCTGAGCTGGAATGAAAGCCTGCAGAGAGCCAGGCCCTCTAGGACCAGGATTGGACACCCCTGAAACAGAGGGTGTGATAGTCCCATAGTGTGGTTCCGGTATATTTAAAAGCAGTATGCCTCAGTGCAGAAGTTCACTGGCCAATTAATAGTGCCCCCAGTGTAGAAGTACCACACTATTAATGTGGTCTCGCCAGGTTATGGCACCACACTGTAATCCTATTAGTAAGTCTCTGCCCCACATTCCTAAGCACAGTGGTCATCCACAGCTAATGCATTACCCATAAGCTCAGTGTCTGCTGACAGTATCCGCAACAGTGAAATTCCAACATGTTCAGACCTGACACTGGCTGCGAAGGGACTAGGACTTGTATATCTGCTGTGAGAAGCAGCAATTATCCATTTTGAATACTTGGAGGCAAAGCTTCAACACCCAGATCTCTAATTTACAGTTTGCGTAGGTAATTTCACGTTGCCTTAGTCAGCTAAGTTCAGTTTGTTCCCAGTGGCATGATTGCTAGGCTGGTCTACCAGGCAGCTTCAGTCTATAGTTCTTGCACAGCAGGCAGTGGCACTATGTCTTTTTTTATTTATACATGGATGCCACTGTTAAGGCATTAGCTCAGCCAATTAAAGCCTTTTCCCCCTTGACCCATATGCCTTACGAGCAGAGCAGGTGTGGGGTCATTTTGACAGCTGAGATCACACTAGAGTGAAAACTGGATTGTGCAGTAGAGTCACCTTGCTCTGGAAGACTTTGGCTTAGGACAAATTTTAGGCCAAATTCTCTGAAATTTTACCTACACTCTGCCCGCCCAGACATGAATCACACAGTCTAACGTGAATCATCAATCAGTTGCAAATTTTTTGCAAACTCCGTGACAGCTTAGCTGGAGTTTTTTCTAGAAAAATAGAATGCTGTACTTGCTTACACACCCAGAATACAATACAGTCATATTGTTATGGACATTAAAAATATTTTAGCTGAATGCTACTGTTCACGAGTAATGATTGGAAGATACATTAATGTCTTAATGGCATAGAAAACTGAAATGTACCATTTTTCTCTGGGTTTGTATCTTGTGTGCTTCGGACTTGAATTTCAGGTTCCTAGCAAAGGCTTCCCTTACAGGAGGTCTGTCCTCAGCCCAGACTGAGAAAAATGTTTTACAGTGCATCTGAAGTTTTTTAGGTGAACATTCCAGAATTAATTCATTCATTTGCACTGCTCTGTGAAAAGGTTGGGGTTCCTTTCTCCCTTTTTATTATTGTGCTGTTTCTCCATCTTTCCATTTCACTGTTTCTCATTTCCCTTCTGTCTCCACTGTCTTCAGGAAGTCACCTTTTCCTGTTCCTGGACATCTACAGCTTATGTAATTCGTCATGTTTCACATGTGATTTCTATATACACTACCTGTGAGGTTTTGTGGTAGAAATCCCTGTTGATGCCTGTAGCTACAAAGTGAAGGACTGTCACATTATAATAGTGGTGTTACTTACTTGTTACCCACAGTTTGCTTAGCTACCTGTACCCTGAGCCTGTTCAGTCTTTTCATATATCCAGTTAGATTTAGGGTTGCGCTGTACGTGAATGGGGCTATGTTACACTCATAGCACAAAATAAAACTAGGAAAACCATACAGTAAAATAAAATAGAACATAAACATACCAGGACCACTGTTACTGAGCTGTGTGCATCAGCTGTCTTGTCCTTAATGGTGTCATTATTTGCACCTCACTGCTCTCTGCCTGGAATTCTCTTAGCTTTTAGCTCAGTGTTTCATTATGAGCTGTTACAAACCATGATGCATGTCGCTCTGTTGCGTCCTGAAGTTTCTGTGCTGGAGTTATGATGGTGTTATGTTGCTCCATTCAAGTAAGGCGTTGCCACTGTGTGATTTGGTGTGTTTTACTGCTCCGGTGAAAGAAAGTACTGTGTAGGTAGATGCTTAAAAAATCATTTTCTCGCATATGAAAAGCCGTAAACTGCATTTGTTGTTGTTAATAATAATAACATTTTGTTTTATATAGCGCCTTTAAAAGTATCTTCTTACAGTGCATTGAATTGGAAGTGGGAGGAAAAATTTACGAGGAGATCAAATTAAAAATCAAGGATTTAGAATTTTCTGGAGTTTCTGTGGCTTTTGCTCTGAAAATAATGTGGAGAAGAATTCATCTGTTTCCCCCAGCTGTTAGACTCCATTTCCTGTGTTCTTGTTAACATGAAATCTCCCGCTTAATTGATTCAGCACCAGAAATCAAATCTGCCGTGAAAGCTGCAGACTGACTGAAGGAATTAGTCCTAATTTGATATAGTTATTTCCCGCTGAAGCCCTGGAATGCGTGTTAAGAAATAGTCACCCATCTGAGAAGTTGTCTTGTAGCAGAGAGAAGAGCAGTGGTGGTGTGCGCGCTGCCTGGCGCCGCGTGACGGTGCCGCCCCTGTGCCCCCCCAGGCCCTGCAGGAGAAGGTGTGCGAGTTCCAGGCCCGGCTGCTCAGCGAGGAGGCCGGCCGCAAGCTGCAGCTCCAGCGGCTCAGGCAGAGCCACGAGCAGCACGTGCGCGAGAAGCTGGCCCTCATCCGCAGCCTGCAGGATGTGGTCCGCGAGCAGGAGGCCCAGCTGCGCAAGGGAGAGGCCGTGGGTAGGTGGAGGCGCCGGGCGCGGACCACCAGAGCCAGCGGGCTTCAACACGGGGGGCTCTGCAGTGAATTACCTGTATGTGTAATACAGCTACGGCAGAACGATGTTTGTGGGGCGAGCTGTACCTCTTATTTGTAAAAGAACAGCCCTCAGTTTCAACGCCCTCACTGTGGCATAAGGAATCCCTGAAAGAAACCAAATCTAGGACCTAAATCTTGGACATCCGTCAGTGGGATAAGGAGCTATTGTTCGCCTCTACTTAATTTTGCAATGTCATGTCCTGTGTGTAGAAAACGTCTGGCTGTGGTCCTGGACAGTCCCAGTCCCAGTCCAGTGAGTCTCACGGGTCACCTTTCCCAAAGGAACACCTGTAAATTACTGATGAGTTAATCGAGTGAACGATCAGTGAACAGCGAACGATCTATTTCTAAATCACACATCTGTAACACCTGGAACAATTCGACTGGGAACACCTGTGATCAGGTGATTTATTTTCAAATTAATAAAAGAAAGGAACTGGAGTTCCCTCAGTGAAAAGACTTGCTGATGTGATCAGCAGCTTAGAAGAGTCCCTCATGTTTAAGATCAGCTGCCTGGTGGTGCCCTGTGACCCTGGTTTGGGGATCAGAAAAGGGCGGTCGAATGGTGATCTTTGAAGCCTGCTGGACGGGGGAGACTACTGTCACGAGGGGAGGGGAGGCAGGGAGACAGCTGGCGTTGGTTCCCGGTGACGCCTGCACGCTCGTCCCTCTCCGTCCGCAGGGAGCCGGCGCTCCAGCCTGGGCAGCAGACCCGTGCCGTCGGTGCAGCGACTGGCGGAGTCCCTGAGCTCGGCGCAGGAGGAGAAGAGCCGGCTGCAGGAGGAGCTGCTCCTCGCTCAGGACAGGCTGCGCTGCCGGGACAGCGAGCAGCAGGCCACCATCAGCCGGCTGCGCGCACAGGTAGGGAGGAGCTCCAGTGGGAGGCCAGGGCAGCAGAGGAGAAGTCTGCATCAATATAAGCAGCCCCAAGCACTTCACATATAGGCCAGGGCAAACTGTAGCCTCCGCTGAAGGCCAGCTCCCAGCTGGGTGATGGGTGGCAGCCCCACTGCACAGAGGATCAGGAGGCGACGTGAGAAACTGGAATTCTGCTCAGGTTTAACATCCTGTCTTGCCAGTTACCTAAGAGTCAGGACCTCCGTTTAACTTGTCGTCTGAAGGGCAGCACATCGTATACTACAGTGTCCCAGGTCACTGTCTTAGGCCGCTTCTGATGCAGAAGGAGGAGTGCCAGCTGCAAAAGACATTTGGTTTTCCTTAGAGGCCTCCCATCCCTGTCCTGACCAGGCCCAGCCTTGATTAGCTACTTCGACTGGACTGAATCGGGCTTCACGCTGGTAATAACACCGCTGTCAATATGGGATTTTGATGACAGTTTCTCAGGTGCTTGAAATCTTGCAGATTTGTGAAATTGTCTTTAGATTAAATTCCATTTCTCGAATAAGAAATCATAGATTTAAAATAGCCCATTAAAAAGTTTCAAATAAGGACATGGAAGGGTAGCGTAAAAGAGCTAGAAGACTCCAGTTTTCTCAAGGTTAGAATTTGACATCTCTGTGTTACAGCAAAGTACAGTGAAGGCAACTTCACCCTAATAGTGGGGTGTGTGGGTTTGGCATGGCCTGGTGTGAACACTAAGAGGCTGAGTCCTGGGGCAGAGTGAGGAGCCTTCTTGAAAAGATGGGACAGCCTGTTTTTTTTCCGAAAAGCTCAGTGAGAATGAAGAGGTGGAACACTGGTTCCTCCCTCTAAAGAAACAGTGCCTGCTGCCCCACCTGTGTTTCACTGGTCCATCCTCACCCTGCAGCCAAATGTACCGTCCTGCCCAACGTCTAGAGCGTGTTTTCCTCGTCTTCCCCGTCTGGGATAAGGGCTGGGGCCATGCAAGAGCCCAGAGCAGCCCCCCCACACACACACACGCCTCCCACCCCCAGGCAGTGAGCCAGGCGCAGGCTGACTGCTGTCTGTGATCGGTTGGCAGGTGGAGGATCTGAAGGAGAAGCTGCTGCTCCAGGCACAGGAAGTGAACAGGCTGCGATCCGAGCTGGTGAGTTGCTGTAAGCCAGCAGTTCAGGGAAGCTGCACAATTGATTGTGCGCTGTAGTGACTGGGGAGGACAAGGGGGTGAAATCCTGCTCATCACATGTCTGAATGTCTCTCCCATGTCTTCTTACTGCATTATCCACTGTAAAATATGTCAAACCCTATTTTAACAAGTGGCTTATGAAAGATTGCCGGTGTTTTAATACCCAGAAGTAAAACAGGTCTCTTTGGTACTATGGTTTAGGGCTTTTCTTAGATAAAAGATATGCAAAATAAATTTGTGGAAAAATGCCTGACGTATTCCTGCTCACACCTGAAGAAGCCGCAACAGCAGAAGAGTTCTTTCATCTTTCCTTTTTTCTCTGTGGAATTTACCTTGACATGCTCATTCGTGGGATGGCAGGAGTGCAGTGGTTCTCATTGCTGCCTCACAGCTCTGGGGCCCTGGGTCTGAGTCCTGGGGTTTTATTTGAGTGGGGTTTGTATGTTCTCCCTGTGTTCACGTGGGCTTCCTCCCACAGTCCAAAGACATACTGGTAGGTTAATTGGCTTCTGGGGAAAATGGCCTTGATGTGAGTGTTTGTGTCTGTGTGTCCTGTCCAGGGTCTATCCCGCCTTGCGTCTGTTGCTTGCCAGGATAGGCTCCGGCTCCCCTCCAACCCTGAATCGAGCGGAAGGGTTAGAAAACGGATGGATGTTCCTACGCAGTCTGAATTCCTCTGATGCACCTCAGCTGTTAGATACAGTATTGTGTGCTTGTGTTGTTTCCCTTCAGGGAGCAACAGACCTGGAGAAGCAGCTGGAGATCCTGGTGTCGGAGAACGAGCGGCTCAAGCAGGAGCTGACGCAGGCAGAGGGCCAGGGCGCGTGCCCGGCTCGCGCCGACTGCCGGCACAGCCAGGTGAGCCGGACGCGGGTCTCTCTGGCCGCCGCGGGTGCACGTGTGTGTGTGTGGGGGGGGGGGGGCCGTGCCCAGCGTGTTCCTGAACTGGCCGTGTGCTGGGCTGCCCCTAGGACGCAGAGGCCCTGCGCTGCCGGCTGGCCCAGCGGGAAGCCGAGCTGCGGGAGGAGGCCGGCCGGGCGGCGGAGCTGGAGGGGCAGCTGGAGGAGGCGCGGCGCGAGGCGGGGGAGCTGGAGGGCCGCCTGGGCCAGAGGCTCAGGGACTGCCAGCAGGCCTTGGCCAGGCAGGCTGCCCAGGCGCCGCACGTCAAGGTCAGTGGGGAGGAGCTCTTGCGGGGGGCTGGGACATGAGTTTCTGAACACAGAAGGAATAGTGAAGCGTTTCATCAGTGCAAACACTTTCTAAATGATTAATGCCAAACAATTCGCTGTTGCTTATTTTAGAAATTAAGTAATTTAAAAAGGGTCCTAAATTAAAGTTTCGGCGATTGAGAGAATTTGTCACGGTAACTTATTCACTACTTGTTCACTCACAGAACATAACAGGTGTTACAAACAAGGGAAAGCCCTTCGGCCCACCTAGCCTGTTTGGCAGTTAGTAGATAAATGATCCGATGATCTCATCCGACTGTTTCCTGAAAGAAATAAGGGTATTGGCTTCAGCGCGACTGGGTAGCTTGTTCTGCATTCCCACAGTGCTCCTGTTCTCAATTTTAAATGCACTGCCGTCTAGCTTACGCTTACAGAGCAGTGTGTGCAGGAGTTTATTCCTGTAGTTGCAGATACCCACAAGTGCAGAACTATGCCGGTAGGCCCTGGCATACTGACGGCTCGTTTCACTCCCTCGCGTTCTGCAGTACGTCACCAGGACGGTGGAGGTGGAGTCGGCCCAGTCCAAACAGGCCCTGTCGGAGGCCCAGACCCGGAACAAGGTCCTGGAGGAGCAGCTGGCATCCCAGCGGCAGCATCTTCGAGAGCTGGAGGGGCAGCTGCACGACTCTCAGAGGACCTGCAGCCAGCTCCGCGCCCAGGTCTGCAGGCCCCGCCCATTCCCAAGCCCCGCCCCCTCTTTTTGCCCTTGCATTTCCATCCCTTCGCCTGTTGGTGG